CACTTTTTATGATCTAGATCGAGCGTCAGACGTCGATCGGGAATGGGGACAATATCGACGCGTCACCCAACGACTGGAGAATTCCGGACGGTCCGATAGGTCAGGTAAGAAGTCAGATCGCGCTTAAACCACGCGAAAATTACAGCGTCGCTGGGAACTACTTCCATGTAGACGCGAGATTCTTTTGGATCCTGGAAAGGGTGTTCGAAAAGTGGCGTGTACCCCGGGAGAAGCATTTGGGCCAAATTGCCTCCTCCCACAGGATGAGAGGCAAATAATCGAATCGAGATTCAGACGTTAAGCAAGTAATTGCTTACGTATACCTGCAGGAATCGAGCGGAATTCGTGTCCGAGATGCGGACGATACCCTTCCTCTTCTTGGAAGATGCAGTGCGGGAAGATCTCATGTCGCTGCATCCCTTTTTCTCTCTTCACTCCGGATCTTCATTTCGGATGAAATTTTCATTCGAGGCCGAATCTGGCAGAGCTCGGATGATATCGTTCAAATCTTCCCCAATCTTGTTTCTCCCCAGACCGGTTTTCAGGAGGCGGAGGCTTCAAGGTCCACGAAAGACGTACGAGCTACGACATCTGGACTCTTTCTCCATCCCAGATATCATCTACGCAGTTCATTCAGTTGTATTTCATGTCGCGACAACCGAGATGCACTTAAGACACGTACGCCAGGAATGCCCTCTGCAACCTTCCGTTCGGAAGGTTCTTGAATGATGACTCCAACACGTTTTACCAGAGGAAGGGAAAAACCCGAGAGGGTAAGGTAACACGCCTTGCACTTACTTTTTCCATCATCGACATTTGCACGTGCTCTGGCTGCAATAAAAGCGAGGAATGCTGCATAAATTTATATAATGAGATCTGGATCGTCATCGTGATGAAGGCAGAAGGAGAGAGTGGAGTCAGGGATTGGGTTGGCCTTTCACTTTTCCCCCCTTCCTTCTCTCTTGTACCTTCTCTCATTCCCTTTCCTGGATTTACTGCGCCGCATTTTCGTTCCTACTCGCGACTGATAACTTTCCCCATTCGAGGTGAGTCGCTCCCTTTTCCTTCACCGTTTGAATACAGCCTCGTTTAGTACTCTCGACAAATTCCTCCACGCCGGAGTGTGTTGGACACGTCTAACCAGTCTTCATCTCGTCATACCCCATTTTCTTCTGAAATCACGGTATTTCAGAAATGTCACACTTTTTGTCACTTATCGTTCCTGTTAAAAAAAAAAGGTTTAATGGAAGTGTTATTCCGATTTAGCATGAAAATCACTCAGATTGACAAAAAATTTCGGTGCAAACGTTCCTTCTAGGATTCCCAAGAGTGGCAGTCCCTGAAAGACTGGTTTATTTTTCACTGGAAAGATGAATATGAATAATTTTTTCATGTTCGTTTTTCCGTTGTGAGGAGGGAAAAAAAATCAATACATTAGGGTGCAGGGGGAAGGGACTTCAATAAATAAACAAATAAACCGAAAATGGAACCTGGGCGTCATGTATCCATTTTGCTGGGAGCAAACTCATTCGCTTTTTTTTGTTGCACACTTGTTCTCTCATCAGTATTCACGCTCTCAGCAAGGCCGTATTTAGGGGGTTCATGGGGTTCAAACCCCCCCCCCCCCGAAATATCTTCCTTAAATTTTTGCCATACATTCATCGGTGTAAACGGTGCAGTACTTGGTCTTTTCTATCTTTAATAGCTTATGATTTATTAAACACTGCAGCTTACAGGAAAATCCAGATATGTCACAAAGACTTACAATGACAAGTATTAAAAAATTGCCACAGCCCATACGCCAGACCTCAACCCCCCCCCGAAATGAAATCCTAGATACGGCCCTGCATGTAAGCGAGATCGATCTTAAAGCTCCCAATATTCGCGTTTCACTTTCGCAACCCAAAGGGATCTTTTCCGGGCGTCTCTCGGAAGCAGAAACAGACGATAACCTTGCTCAGACCCGTTTGAGCGTTTTACATCTCCATAGCATTATTGCTCTACAATCAAGGCGGAAAAGCCCCTTCACGTGCATTGCATGGACCACGTTCATGCAGCGACTGGAGCGAAAATGGCGCCCATGCGCGTCAGCCAATCAGATGCGTCGAAAAGTGTGACCCAGGTTGGCCAGGCTCTTTCTCTAGTTTTGAATCTGCCATCTATGATTCCGACCCGACACCAGCCGCCTCGACCTCTCCTAGTTGGACCTCGACTAGTTGGCGCAGCGATCGCTCGTTCTCCCGAGGATGCAAGGTTCGGGTGAGGACGTCAAGAGCCATTTTTGCCGATTGGGACATCCCGTGTCGAGGTCGAGCCTTCACGTATCATCAGATAGGAATGTCCCTCTTGAATATGTTTTTGCGGGAGCACATCCTGCCTGGTCACGTGAGCCATTGTCCCTCCTCCATTGTCCCCTTTTTCCTCATGAAGACAATCATCTCTCGATGGGAGTCGCGGGCAGCCACGGTATCATCACGCATCCGCTCCCCTTGGAGTAAAGAAGTCACGTCCCGAGCTTCGCCTACGCAACTCGAGTCGGTTCCCTCTCGTTCCGTTGCCATCGGCCTGGAAAAACCTACCAGGCCCTACCTTATCGATTTCCTTAATGATCTTACGCCTCGATGAGGTTTCTCTCGGGCTAGTGCAGTCCCAACACTTCCTAATGGGAAGCCTCGCTTGGCCCGAATCGGACGCAATATTCTAAATGGGGTCTCGCCTGCGCCACATACAACAAAATAATAACGGGCGAGCTCTCATCGACTATGGGACGTCGGATGATGCCAAGTGTTACATTCCGCACTTCGAGTCCGGCTGTTTTACTGTCCAATCTCAGAGGTGAAATCGTCTCACTTCGTTACGGTCGTTCAGCCAGGAATAGAAAATCCGGGGGAGAATTTTTCGTCGCACGAGTTTGAAAACATGTTTTCATCGTTCCACGCGAATGAATCATTTCGGCAGCGACTTTCTACGTTATAATCGATGCTGCGTCGGTTTCGAGTTCATGGAACTTATTTCCGATGCATGCGATTCCTCTCCGCGTCGAAACGTCCTATTCGACGAGAATAACCTCAACATTCATGCGATGAGGTAACGATGTCGCATCGAGCGTGCAATTGCCAAATCCCAATTACTTTTATTTTCCTCGGGTCTGATGAGGACGAACGCGTCCGACCTTCGCCCTGGAGCTGGATGAACCAGGAATGAAAACCGACTGCTATCGGGGCCTCACAGATGACAGATTCGATTTGTTGTTTCAGCGACGTGCTTTTGCTGCCGAGACCGACAGTCATTTATCTTATCCTATCGCGGAGGAATCGTCGAACGGGCATTTCGAGTCCCGGTGCTTTAGACAGACGATATTTATAATAACGGGCAAGCAGAAAGATGCGGAAATCAGGAGACAGGCAGGACATAGGATGGCGACCAGAGCCGCACCGAGAGGGGTGCGAGCGGTGCGCCCGCACAGGGCGCCGACTTGGGGGAGTGCCGATTGCCTGCTAAATCTCTACAATATAGTAATAAAACCTAAAAAAAAAAGTGCAAATTATCCTGAATTCAACTAAATTGAGCACAGAATCTTAATATGCAATATATTGTCGGTACTGGGGAAGCTGGAGAGGTATAGAGGGGGGTATCTCGCACAGGGCGTCAAATATCCTCGGTACGGCACTAATGGTGACTGAGAGAGGGGGGACAACAGCCTAGCCACCAGCAAGCGATCGCGCTGACATCTGGCGAAAAACTGGGACCCTAGTATGTTGAATATAGTTGCTCGATGACCGTTCTGTGGTCTTGATTTTTACGACCGTTTCTTAAACGCTCGGGGCAAGTCTGCTTCCTGCTTCCTTGAAGCAGGAAGCAGAGCTTCCTATGGAGCTCTATGGCGCAAACTTTTGGCCAATCCCACCCCGAAAACGCGCCCCAATTCGGAAACCTCAGGTATATAGGTTACGCATTGACTACCACCGCAACATTACCTTAGGGTTTTGCGATCGAACTTGCCATTTCGAGACAAGGACCTGTGGCAGTAATTCGTGTTACCATCATTAGAAGCAGATCGATGAGTGCATGGCGGCGAAATCCTGAGTTAATATATATTTTTTCGTCATAGTTCAACGCCTGTTTAGACGATTTCCACACACATACATGGCTCTTCACATGATCCAGTCAGACATGAGACCTTCCCATGCCATCTGGCCAGGTTGGAGCATGATCATTTCAGCATTTTACATAAAGAGACCTTGAACCTGATAGAATTCAAGTGAGGAAAACACAAGGATGAGTCTCACAGCAGGAAAGAAAGGCCATGTTCTTGTGAAAAGACTTTTTTTATTGTCAAGTGTAATCTGAAGATTCAGAAAACACAAAAAAAAAAACAGAACAATGAGCACATGGACCATGCACCAAGAAGAAGCTTTTCTAGGATAGACTCCAGCCCAAACCAATAAGATCAGTGTTCATATGGCATCTCCATCTCTAAAGGCAAGAATCTAGCCAAGAAACTTCTCCTGCATATGGATCTCAGTCTGCGATGCAAAAATATACAGGGCTATAGCCTAAGAGAGACAGGAGGAAGTTTCAGCAATGAGAACAATTGAGGGACCCAAAAGGGCACGTGGAATGAACATAAAATGCAAAAATAAAAAGCATAATGGCAGAAAGTCTGAGGTGGAATGTTTGGGTAAGCATCACAAAACTCTGAATGATATAATTAATCACTCTGTTTATCACCTATGAGATAAAAATATCTCTGGAGAATAACCACATCTCCTCTCGGAGCATAAGACACAGACAGACAGAGACAGTCAGCTGAGATTTAACTGAGAAAGAGAGCATTTGCCTGCTTGCATAATCACAAAAATGACGAGTTCAGTAAAAAAAAAAAATTTTTTGTACAAAACTTTCCATACTCTTTTTTTTCCTTTGACAGTATTCCAGCCTCATCATGAACCTTTCATCACTTCTAAGAAAAAAAACTGAACTCAAAAATACAATGAATTGGTAGCATAAAAGATCACACAATATGGCCAAAAAACAATTCAACAATTATTGCACGAATGAAAACCAAAAGCATCAAGCACATGGTATCACGTGAACATCAAACTGCATGCAAGACAGACACAGCTGACTGTTATCCTTTGATTCTTGCAAAAACTGAATACTGCCCTGTACTGGCCATAGAGACATGGAGACCAAATGAGATGAAATCACAGTTTACAAGCAAGGCATATCTGGCAAATGATGCTCAAAAGAGACGCTTCTCATAGGAATGAAGACTGTGAACTCCTCCTTCTACCTGAGCCGACACCGTACGACGCTCAAACTTCAACTCCCCACAATACATCATGGATCTGTGAGAAAAAAATCCCCATTTTCGAACTGTACCTTTAATTTCAAATACCAGGATGGGTGCAGACTAAGATGATGGTCAGACCGAAGGATGGAGAGAGATTTGGCCCCAATGTCTTGACACCCATGCTTCAGTCCATGACAAACGTATGGCAAGAATCGAAGGATGGATCCCTTATCGACAATGTTCCCACTCACTCCTTGGGCCACCTTCACCTTCTCATCTTCCCTGCTTGAGCAAAGAGACTTTAATAACCTGAGGCAAATCATGTACATTCAAAGGGGTTACTCTCATCTACTGAGAATGGATCTCATAAAGGGGCTATCAACAGCACAATAATCATATATATATTGGTACTTGCTGCTAGATGTGGCTCCAGCTACAAGTCCTGACATGGAACCTTTCATACTAGTTCACCACTCTGCCATTTGCAGTCACATGCAAAGCCTGTATCTCTATGGAGAACATACTATAAAACCTACTTAAGTGCATCCCACAAAAGAATCAACAGCTGAACATAGCCTAATTCCATGCACATTTTTCAATTCCATGACTAATATGATGTGCCAGCTTCTGGAGCCAAATTTGGAATATTCAAGAATATAAACTCTGTTCTGATGCATTGAAAAGTTTGATCCTTCAACTATAGGATATTAAAAATGCCATTCCTTAGGAAATGGCTCTTACATTTTCCTCCTTCCATTTTCATCCTAATACTGTAAAATGAAAGGGCAAGAAGTACACAAAATGTAACTGGATATTGCATATGGATAATAATGGTGAAAGGAGATGACAGCATTTTCTTGGTGGAAAGCAAAAGATTGTCACATCCTGAAATGAGTGAATTTCAGCTTTTGATCCTTTGTGGCATAAATTCAAATAAAAGGATCCTACACAACAGATATTGCAGAATGTCTACAAAAGAGTGGGTGGCGAGAGCAAAGGCTCACCCTGATTCAGATGTATCAACTCTGAAAACCGAAAGAAAAAGAAATAAGCAACTGGTAAATGTGAGACAATATGACACTGAATTAACAATGAAAAAAGCTGCTCATGGACATAAAGAGGAGAATGAATAAAAAACTTGTAAAAAGCATACAATTCCTAATTTCCTTTGTTGTTGATGAGGAAAGAAAGGTCTTACGCAGTGAAGTAGCGATCCATAGCAGCCCCTCCAGAATTTTCCTTCTCCATAGCTTCCAAGCTCCCCATTCCACGATACTTCTTCAGCCGAACCCCATTTGAAAAGAAGTACTCCCCTGGTGCCTCAGTGGTCCCAGCCAGCATGGAGCCCATCATCACTGGCAGAAAAATTACAAAGTCATGATCTCCATGCAAAGCAAGTGGCAGAGAAGAAATTACAAGCTCACCAGTTGATGCCCCAAGAGCAAGGGCCTTGATGATGTGTCCAACGGTTTGGACCCCTCCGTCTGCAATGACAGGGATCTTGAAACGCCGAGCATATTCAGCCACCTATATATTGAGACCAAATTGAAACAACTTGAAAACATTGAAAAATCTATGAATAAGTAGATGATTTAGCAAAAAAAATAAAAGAAGAATGATCAGCAATAACCTTGTAGACAGCAGTGGCCTGAGGTCGCCCAACAGCCATGACCTCCTGAGTGATGCAAATGGATCCACAACCCATTCCCACACGTAATGCATCCACTCCTGCATCTATCAGATTCTTGGCCTGAGATGCAGTCACAACTGCAAGAGAAAAGATTTAGTACATTTTTAAATGAAAAGGGAAATGCTCCTGTTCATGCACAAGAGAAGTAGGGTTTGGACTCAATAAAATCATTATTTATTCCCTAGTGGGGAAAAATGCCATGTAATACTGGGTGGCCCAAAAAAAAAGTCCTGAACTTTGTGTCTACAAGGGGGCTCCTTGCTAAGCATTGTCTTGAAATTTTCAGTGTGTCATACCCAATATATGTAGGTGGTTTCAGGAAAATTTCGATGAAATTCCCTGCTCTGAACCTGAGTAAGAGCTCTTTCCATACAAGTCTTCAAATGAGCAAGTGTGTCAGTGCATTTGCCAGCGTGCTGCCTCAGCAGGCGTTCCAAGGGAGGCACATCTACGGAACATCAAACATTTCTTTCATTGAGGTCAGGCACATTTGTTTGCACACTCGCTCTGTTGACATGTGGGAGAAAAATTGTTACCCATGTAGTTTCCAACCAATTTCAATGAAAATTTTGTTACATTACCTGCTAACATGGCATGTAAAAGCCTGCACATTTCCTGTCGATAACTCATATGGTACACTGTCTGCAAGGGTGTAAAGTTCTGGACTTTTTTTTGGGCCACCTGGTATAAATCTGCTAATGGACCACAAGGGTAGGTCAAATACAATTTTTCCTTGGTTCTAATGACGTGTTGATATATTGAGAACATCTGAGCTGAACAGGCAATGTAAAGCCATAGAAAAAGGAAGGACACCTTGACTTGCACAATAAATTGCATAAAAGTTTCTGTGATGGGCCAAATGAACAACAAGGAATAACTGAACTTAACTTCTGTATCAGCAGCTACTGAAATTTGAATAAGCAGATCTGAAGTTTTAAACTTACCATTCCCTCCAACAACTTGAAGGTCAGGATACTTGGACTTGATGTATCGAATCATGTTGATCTGATAGATTGAGTTCCCTTGTGAGGAGTCCTGGAAAACCAAATTGTTGCTGAAAATAATATATCCAGGCAATTTATTGAAAACCCAATTTTTCAAGATCCTTACAAGGACAAGGACATCTACACCAACAGCAACAAGGTTCTCAATTCTATGTTTATCCTCTTCTCTTGTGCCAATGGCAGCCCCTACGAGCAGCTGATCATTGGCATCTTTAGATGCATTGGGATAGTTGCGGGACTTCTTGAGATCTGTACGTGCTATCAGAGCCACCAGTTCACCCTTCTCATTTATGATTGGAAGCTTTCCCTTTTTTGATTGCTCCAATATTGAGTTTGCTTCATCCAGGGTCACCCCAGAGTCTGCTGTGATCAAGTCGTCTTTCTTTGTCATCACCTGAAGGGCCAGAAACAAAGAAAGCAAACATGTACCTTATTCTCCAGAAGTGTCATTGGTGGGCATGTGCATTGTAACCATGACATGACTCATGTCAAAATGCAAAACATTAAATGTGTCATACACTGATGTGGAAGCTTCAATCAAGGTTTCATATTGAAACGTCAATTAAGACATCAAGTCATGTCTACAGGCTCAACAATTGGGAAGTGGGCATGAACCAATGAGCATGATTTATGAGAAACGTTCTGGGAAATGTGCACAATGAAATTCAACATAAAGAATGGGAAATGCTCACTATCCATGCCAAATACCTTGTTCAGCATCAGGGCACAGCTTGGAGCACACATCAGTTGCAATTTCTGATAACATCCATAGAGGCTGGTACAAGAGTCAGGTCTAGGGACATGTGATGAGTGACTCAGAGCATTCAACAAATAAGTGTTATGAAATGCTCAGTGAGTTTTAATGCACAGAGGCAATTAGAAGCACTAAACAAGCATATAATTCTTATAATGGTGTGTATTACTTCTTGGCTGAAGACTAATATTAAGGATGAAGGATGGGGATTAGGAAGCAAAGAGACAAGTTTGAACCAATATCAGGGGTCACTGAACAAGAAAGGCTTTAAACCTTTGTGTATAACTTTTTCAAGATATCATTTTACAGTAGCTGTTGCTGTAAATCCCAGTAGGGTGCCAATCACTTTAACAGATGTATATTTACCTGGTCAAGAGTGAGATCTGACTTGGGGTCGAGGAAATCCACATCCCTGGAGGTGACAATGCCTAATAGTTCTTCTCCCATTCGCCCATTTTTTGTGATGGGGATCCCAGCAAAACCATGCAACCGCTTCACATCAAACACATCAGTGACCTGCAAATGAAGTCATAATGAAACGTAATATCAGACTCATTTTTGTACAAGGCTAAGGATGAAAACCTTGTTTCATCAGACTGTAACTAGAGTTGCCCACTCAATCAGAAAACATGACTCATCTAGGGTTATTTAATCCTAATATAATAATCTAGGAAATTAATATTGTTTCAGAATATTTTATAATTTTTCTAAATTGAATCCTATCTAAATCTGGATGATAAATCTTAATGCCAGTAACTGTAAAACTGAAAAAAAAAATTGATACAAGAGGGATGGGACTGGGTGAAGTTAAGAAACTATCATTTCTATAAACTATAATGTCAGCCATAATTCGATAGTTATTGACTACTGACTAATTTATAATATCCAATGAGGGCCTTGAAAAATTAATTAGGACCCAGTAGATATGCAATGACTTTTTAAAATAATCATCAATCCTATCAGTACTCATTATTAATGAACATTTACATCACAAGGAAAGAAAGCAAACCTTGTTCTTGGGTCCAAGGACAAATGGATCTCGGATGAAACCATGCTTGTACTTCTTGACCTTTGCAGCTTCATTTGCCTGATGTTCTGCTGAGCAGTTGTGATGAATAATCCCAATGCCTCCACATAGCTAGAAACAATCTCATAGAACTTTAAACAAGATCTGAATGATAACATCATGTAGGTCTACCAAAAAACAATGTGTTGGTACAGAATAAAAAAATGAAACCAGATCTTACTGCCATAGCAATAGCCATCTCTGATTCAGTCACTGTGTCCATGGGTGATGAAACAAGAGGTGCCTTTAAGGTGATCATTCTGGTCAGAGCAGATTTGAGATCCACTTCCTTGGCCGTAAAGTCAATGAAGCCAGGCAAGATGATGAAATCACTGAAACAAATAACCTTTCTTTCAATATGATTCAAGTGAATGAATAAATCCATAAAATTATACAATATAAAGATGTCATGCATTTTGAATAGGAAAAAAAAAAAGGCTCCTTCAAAGTTCTCATTGAAGGAAATAGGAATATTCTACAGATGGCTCACTTGTATGTCAATCCATCTCCATTACCAAATAACTGAGCACCAGTAAGTCCATCTTCTGGGACATAGCCTGTCCCTCCACAAATAAGATAATCTGCCATACTGGAAGAAAAAACATCATTTGCATACATTACAAATAGCAAAATGGAAGAAAACTTGGAAAATCAGAACTTTTCTACTTTAAGGTCAAAAGACATAAATCAGGAACACAGGTTTTTGATTACTAAAGTTAGCAAAGTATTGTCTTGGATCTCTTGGATCATCAACAGGCAGCTTTCTGAGCTTTCAAGCTTCAAGATCTGTTGATTTATTTTGCACACATAAAAATGCAATACTTAAAAGCATAAGAGGGAATATTAAAAATAGAAAAAATTAGAAATGCATAACTTTGCCAATAATTATTGTCCCCACATGGAGTTAATGAGGATTTGATGCATTCAGTTGTGAGCCAAATACGAAGGCTTGAACTAACAATATATTCAAGGTGCCGGATGAAAATTGCCAGTTTTGAAATGGCCAAAAATTTTTCAACTGAATCATTGATAGTTTCATCAAGGTATTCCTTGAAGCTTGAAGTTTTGCCACTAGATAGCACCTGTCATCCATAGCCATTAAATTTAGTAGGTTTCACAGTCAGCCAATGGGTGGTGATTAGCATCCATGTGCAAATCCAAGATTTTTTTCAAGATTCAAGATACAGTAGAACGCCGATTATCCAAACTGCCCCAGTCTTTTTTATTACTGTATATTGTATACTATGCACTAACTTCTTTAACGCAACCTTTCCGTGGGAGTGTTCGGTTATCCGAACCACCCCCGGTCCCAATTAGTTCGGATAATCGGCGTTCTACTGGAGTTAGTGACATCAAGAGGCGATTTCGCCCATTTCAATATCACGTGTCGAGGTTGAGTGTTCCTTAATTTTAGGGTAGGCCTAACCCTATTATAACCCTAATGGATATATGTATCCTGTTATAGATGTAGTCCTTTTTCATCTGTCATTTTGCTCATTGCAAGGAAATATCAGGTACAACCCAAAGAATGATGGGTTCATCTTTCAGATATGCACCACATGCATAAATTCTGTAATTGATAGGATCTCATTCAGACTCCATCAAACATTTCTTTCACAAATATTAATTCTTTAGACTGACCTTGTGCTGCATAAGATTTTGTAAAGCTGTTTTCCTATTAATAAAATAAAGGTACTAATGCAGAGAGTTTGTTTAAAGACTACATGTCTACTAGGTGCTCAAATGACAAAGAATAGTTTTATCTGTCCCATGAGGGAATAGGCAGCAAAAGCCCTTAACTCTGTCATTTTTATATTCTGGTAAAACCTGCCGCCTAGTCCAGCCCACCTTCTTTTTTTTTCTCCCAAACCTCTTTTAGGAAGTGGGAGAGGAAGATGGCATAAGTATCATGAATAAGACATTTCCTCAGTTCAGCTGATTTTTTAGTTTCCATACTGGGGTTTGGAAAAACAAGAATAGGTGTCCATCAACAACAAATCGACAACAAATTTCAGTTGCTCTCCATTATAGGCCTATATGCAAATTTGATTTCTAACACCACAACATGGATGGATGCAAAACTGAAGCACAGAATCATGCCTTATTCTATGATCAGGTCATAACGTCAACCAGTAGAAACTAACAGGCTCAATGTGGGCTATTAGATTCCAACAGGGTTGAATTTCTGGTTGGACTTACACAGATTTACTGAGTATCTCGACACAACGGTATCTCTTCTGCTCACACGATAAGTCTTAACTTTAGGCTGACATGCAACGCCTAAGGGTTTATTGATTATCTAAGGTCTATTGCTAATCCGAACAGAAAAAATTAATAGGCATGGCTTTGGATCAATACCCCAAATTATGCAATTGCAAGCAAAAAGTCAGGACGACGCATTTACTGGTCGATCAGTTCCGGTTTCTCAATGCCGCTTCCAAATTCGCCAGGCCACAGCATTCCTTGTAATGTGTCGTTCAAGCTAAAAACGTTGCTGGCAATTCGCATTTTACCGATGACCTACCTCATTTAAGCTTAACATACGGTAAAATGTAATAGGATTCCCACCAGCGAGAAGCTATTCGGTAGGCCAAAGTCGCCCCGCCGAAAGGCAACCGTAATACTGATGTCACGAGAGCACGTGCCAACTAACGTTTTCTATCCACACGCCACGCTGGTGCGTGAAATAATAAACAGTCCACAAGGTTGCCGGAAATAAAGGGGTACGTTTTCTCTTAGTCTCCTTCCTGAAGCAAATTAAAGTGAACGAAGGCTTCGAATATTATTAATTCCCTTGCAAGCGCCTCCCTGTGACGCATCGTTGCAGCTTGTACGAGTTACATTACATAATTTTTTCATTTCCAGGAGGTAGCAACACTGCTGCACTAGGATGCCCTTTGTGGGCCAGTGCCTCCGGGCGTCGGAAGGGATTGACCGCATTCGCCTTCCAGGCCTTCCATTGTGAGTGATGATTCGAACCGTTAGACCCTGTTTCTCGCGGAGACCGTAATGGTATATATCATAACTTCCCCTTCTTCACTAACCTGTCGTTTCCTCCCGTGACCTGCATGAGACGTTTGTGAGCTGGTTCGTAGACTTCGTTCATCAGTCCGGATTCCCCCGAATTGGGCGAGTCCATGGCGGAAGAGCCTCCCGCCTTCGCTGTAGGAAGCACTGTCAATACCGTTTCATGTATCCTCCATCGTGTTTCGCGGTGAACGTAGACGAAACATGTCGTTAACACGTCCTGCTATTGAAGCAGGCCATGGACTATTGCGCGGAGGCAAAGGATTCCTACAGTCCCAAGTTCATCCCAGAACGCGCAAGGCAGGACGCATGGAAGACTTGCTCATCCGATTTAGATAGGCGGTGGTCGCGTCATCGCCCTCATGCAATTTTCCCATCGGAGTAATTGTTCGCCGCTGGAGTCAGTCACGGTCAGAAGAAGGCAATTATTCGCTTGGCAGTCATCTTTCGCCACTCGCCTTCCACCGAACCGCGTCCGTTCGATCATTGTCAACATCTATCTTCGGCTGCCCTCGATTTTGGCCTCAAGGTCATGTGGGATGGAAGGGCTTTGAGGCAGTGATTAGTCAGGCCGACAGTACTTGGGCTTGAAGCCAAGGATCCCCGCTCGATGAGGCGTCTGCTCCACTTCCGCACTGAATGTTTCATCGAGGGAGGCATGAGATATTCGGAATTATTTCTCGACTCGCCTTTATCGCCTAGTCGGTTCTGGCACGAAGTGCCGTGGCACGGAACCAGAGAGAGAAAAAATTGATGGCTCTTGCATAATGAGTCTGGTGGCCGCCGTTTCCCACGTTGAGTTTCGACATAAGCCTGCCTCGCCGCGTGGCCCATTGTAATGGTGTGATGAAGCACCTTTAATTTACCTAAGAGGGAAGTGGAGCAGAAAGAGTAGCGAATGTACTAGTGGATTTTCGCTTCGGCCTCCCAATCCCCCGCCGGGACGTGCTGACCCAGTGAAGAGGATTCTGGCTGCGTGTGCCGCGAGAGGCTGTGCGGGGCGGGGCTTGACGCAGATCGTGTGACATAGGCCTTCCTGTCAAGGGCGGAGGCGTGGTTCGTGTCTCCTCGATACTGAGTCGTAAATCGGGCTATCACGGGGCTCAGTTTGCTCAGATAGTCACCGTCATGACTCATTTGCTTGAGGCTTTCGGGCCATTGTGCTTGGACCGAGGACTTAGGTCTAGCCATCCACCTGAAGTCGTAACCCCATCCATTGGCCTATCCATGGCCTATAAATATTCCCTATCAGATTAGACCTATTGGCTTATGGTTAAGCGCGTACCCCCTAGGGATATTGTGTTGCTCATAAGGTTAGGCCAAGTCAGGTTAGGTTAGGTTGGTGTTTATTATAAAAAAAGTCTTATCTTTATCAAAAGTCTTAGTCACAATGGATATGGCCTGTTTGCTGTTGAATTCATCTGGAAACATTGGAGACTGAGGAGTGCAGTTCCTCTTTGTCATGCTCTATTAAACTGGGGGCCAGATGAAATGCTTCTGGGGTGGCCACTTTAACATATCTTAAACCAAATTTTTAATGCAAACTGGTTGTGAAATCTCAGCACTTTTCCAAAACCTGCTAGTGAAGTGAACTTTATGGGGTGGACAAAATGAACTAATGAGCCAATTTGGCTCACAGGGTGCCAGTTTGACACCCCTGCTTAACTGTTACTTGCCTGTTGTGCCTTGTTTTTAAATCATGTTTCTGTACTTGGATCAAGTAATCAGCTAGCATAAGCTGAAAGCACAACCTAATTAATAGATAGATCTTATATGCATAAAGGTCTGGTTAGTCTTAACTTTAGCCCATTAATAGACATTTGTGTACCAAACCCATGTACCCTAATTGTGGCTGATTTCAGATTCCTCAGGTGATAATGTCTAACTTTGTGCCAACACACATTCAAGTGACGGTGCTACGAGCCAGGGGACTCAGAGTGAAAGGGAAACATGGAACTAGTAATCCCTATGCTATTATGGGGATTGGCAAGGAACAGTTCAAGACCACAGTGCAAGAGAAAACATTGGACCCTGTATGGCAGGAGGAATGTGAATTGTAAGGAAAGATCTAGCTAACCTAGGCCAAAGCCTAGCTTCTCACAGTTTCAATATGAGGTCTATTGATGTACCTACTGATGCTTATTTCCTAGGTTGATTCCAAAACAGGGGAACACTGCCACAGTTTCAGTTGGTGTGTATCATCACACATCAAGGCCTGGGTTTGATGACTTTCTGGGAGAAGTCCTACTTCCTTTGTGTGAATATGATGTCTACGACCCTCCACGGAACAGGTCGAATAGTCAATACCTTCATGAATTCAGGAATGACCCTAGAATATGGTTTATTATGTGAATTTTATGAATGTTCTCTGATTCAGATGGTACAAATTGAAAGGACACGATGGGAAGGATGACGGGAAGGAACGAGGAGAGATCGAGATCAAGATAGCATTTACAACACAGCCACTTGGAGCTAGTTTGACATCCTTGAATAAGCGAAAGAGTTCATCTGTCCAGAAAGTGGCTCATAGTATTGGTGTGTTATTTTTTTATACCTTCTGTTTGTGATGATGCTTTTCAAGAGTACCTGTATATCAAGATTTAAAATTTGTTTTAGGTGGTAGCCTGATGAGTTTGGGGTCAAAGGAGAAGAAAAATTTCAAGAAGTTTGCTTCTAATGTTGGTGAGTGGAGTTTTTCATGTATATTTTTGCTTGTACCAAGGGATGATATTGTTGGGTCTGTGGATAAGACTATAGAAAGGATGTTTGTGTATTTACTGACAAAAGAATTGCTTATTGTGAGGAAAGGTGTAGACATTTTATATTTTCATGAGAGAGGGGGAAAGCACTTTTTTATTATTTAGACAGAAAATGGAGATATTGTTTCCATTTTGGAAATAATGGGAGTGGGATACTTCCATGTTTTTTAAACATGGCTGCAATTTTTTCTCATATGTTTATGTAATTAGGCATGTTTCTTCCTCATTCCTTTAGGTCATAAGTTGGGTGACAAAGTGGGCTCTCCGTTCAAGAAGCACAGACGACAGGGCTCGGATGCCTCCAGTCAGGGAACCAGTGTTGCTTCAAATGCTGATCCTGGTGTTGCCAGTGATAGTGATGATGAGGTTTGTCTCATGTTTTTTTTCTTGACCTGTTTTTGCATTATTAGAAAAACCTTAATAAGCTTTGTTGCACCCTTGAGCAAAGCAATTTGTCTGTCTTTCTGATTTTGCAATCTCCTTAACTAAACTTGTGAATTCAGATTCATCTATATTGTAGAAGGTTGAACATATAATGAGTCTTAATTAGTACTATTCAAGATAATGCAGATGAATTGGAGTTTTCACTAATGGGAACTGTAGACCTGGAGTACTTTTGATATGAGTTATGGAGAGTTGCCAATTCAATCAACCAATGAACAGATGAGAGTTAGAATTGAGATCAATTTAGCTTCAGTGAATATCAGAATATCTAATGGAAAGTCCAAGTAAATTTCATGAATCAGCCCCCACAGGCTCATTCAAGGATGAAAATTGTTTGAAAAATATGAAGATTGAGTGAAAGATGATTTTATTGGGTTGAGTGGAATGGTGTTACCTAGAATGCACTCTTGATGTCCTTCCTTTGCCAGATATATTGACTGGGCAAAAGTGGAATTATCATGTTAGTGCTGTTGAGGGAAGTTCACAAGCTTGATAATTATCTGATGCTAGGAAGTGGAAGCCTAGAGACTCAACGTAATTGCAAGTGATGTGGTTTTGCCCATATTTGTGACATGCACTGCATAGTTGAGGGGCTGCAACTTTTGTGGATCATGGCCTCATGTTTTTCTGGATTTGTTATATCCACCTCTCATTTTTCTCGATATCTATGATTGAGAATTATTATGGCTCTGGAACATGTCTTTGAAGTGTTTTCAAGAAGCATAGGCTGCAACTGCATCACTTGAAGGAATCCATTGCTTAATGACTACTTACTTTTCTTTCAGACATGTATGCGCTTTTGACACTTTACAGTATACATGCAGGATGTGTCCAATTCATTATGTAGATGGTAATGATTCAAGTTCCTAATAATTGTGATGTGAAGGGAATTTCTTGGGGCTAAGAAATTTTACTACTATGCAGCATAACACAGGAGATGTAGCATATCTTATCTAGTAAGCATGTGCTTCTGGGACCACAGTTAAAGGGCTGATGTAGCTGGAGCTACTACTGAGTGATATCACTAGCCAATTCTATTCCTCCATAATAATTGCTTTCCATCCTGTTTGTGATATATTAATCAACTTCTAATTTGTCCTCAATAGTAACTGTTAATTTCACCTATTACTACAGATGAGCAATTCTGTTAACCTTAAACATGGTTAAAAGTGCTGGGCTGATTTGCATCTCTAACTTTAAAGTATCTTCTTGCCTCCCTGAGTTGAAGGTTGATGTTGTCTTGATGGTACAGTGGAATGATGGAGCAATAACACCCAGATCCACACATTCTGCATCAAGTAGTGGTTTTTATCCACTTGGGTTTGCCACTCCTCCCACTGGTGGATCCCGAGAGCACCTTCATGAGGATCTTCTGATCAAGGCTGTGTATACACCTCCCTCGAAACCACCCAGGAAGGTCCTTGAACAAGGTAAGATTTCTGTTGGCATTCACTTTTGGCTCATTCTTTTTTCCTGAAATCAGGTGAACTCTTTTTTTGCATCACCTGTGAAGATCCCCTGCCCTTGCTGTGTTTTCATTTGTGCATTGTCTTGCTGTTGCTGTGCTTGCTGAAGCCCATAGAGCTAGGTAGCTAGGCTTTAGTGCAGATGAATGTTTCAACTCTGTTGTGTATAGTGGAAGAAGAGGAGCAGAATCGATCAGTCCCTGTCACAGCCTCCTCAGTGCTCGAGACCAAGCTGCGAGAACGTTTTTCCAATCCCTTTGAGAGAAGTACAAACAATCCCTTTGAAGATGATGACACTACACTCAAAGCCTTCGAGGTGCCAAGCTCTGAGAACACCGTGGGCACTCCTCGAGTTTCCTCTGCTCGGCGAAACAGAATCCCTTCAGTCACTGTCACCGAGGTAAAGAAGGATGAACGTGATGTGGATGTGGGAAGTCCTCGAGAGAAATCCCTGAGTGTTGACAACAGTGGGCTGATGAAACGCATCAAGACCTCTCCTGGTGAACTCCACATGGAACCTCCTTTGGTGTCCGAGAAGTCCGTCTTCCCAATTGTGGTGGAGGAGGACTCATCAGAAAAAGAGAAAGAGAAATCCAAAAAGAAGATGGTTCGACCTGAAAGCATGATGAATCTTTCTTCCAACACTGAGGATGATAAATCTGGGAAAACTAAAGGGAAAGGGGAACGTTTGAAGAAGAAGCTCCTCAAGGATCACCTAAAAGGTTGGCTGAAATTCAGCTATGCTTTGTAGAGAACTGCTTTTTTCTTTTTAGCCATCTGTTTTAAAAGAAAATTATTTTTGCTTATAAAACTTGGTTAATGTGGACTGTAATAAAAATCACAAAGGATCATTGGTGAATTCCTACTTAAGTATTATACTAGCAAGAGCTTTTAACTTTTATCTATAGAGTCAGTATGGTGGCTCTTTCGTGCTTTTTCTTGAAAATTCATCGGTGTTTGGGAATAGCAGGGTCGTATAGCTACTGGTGAAGGTGGTGTGACTTGTGAATAACCCTTACTGGCCCTCACTTACCCTGTCTCCCGCTTTCCAGGCAGCTTAATACGTGATGTCCTTACCAGTCCTTACAAGAGCCTCAAAGGTTTGTCTTGGTCTTCCCTTGTTACTGTTTGTTCCACTGTAACTGCATGGTCTTATCCCACTTGTTTGCGACCTCCTTGACTTCCTATCTGCCTGCCTTTTTCCCCAGAAGTTGTGTTCATTACTTTCCCTCCACTCTGCCCTCCTTTGACTACCTATGTTTTTTGGGTTATATGTTTTGCTATGAAATGGGAATATGTAAGAAAAAAAAGTTTTTTCAGTGGTCCAATTCAGCATGTTTAAACTTGAACATGTTTTCCCCCTCAGTGATTGTCATGCAGCAATGGCACTCAGCTTTATTGGAAGGAAGTTGTTTTTGAATGCTTGGTCTGCAGGTGGATGTTTTAAACAGCATTGGTGCCTTTAGTAACTATTTAGATAAATTGAAATTTAAAGTTCAGTTCATGCATGGATGGTATGCTCTTTTTTCATGTCACCAAGCATGATGATCTGGTTGCAGATTAGTTGCATAAGCAATGTGCAAGCTGTGACTGAATTTTAGCGGATTGGGATAGTCTTCCTGGTAGTTGAAAGTAATATAAAGTGCATACCTCTCATCAAAGTTTTCAAAGGCTATGCTGTGAACATATTGAATAGTTGGATCACACAGGCTTTACCAGACTCATGAGTGGGAGTGCACCAGCTCAAACTCATCCTGTGATGGTGCTTTGTATAAATGTTGAGGTTTGTGTGGTATTTTTATTATTATTTATGTGGTGAATCTCTTTTAGTAACCCTCGATACTTCCAGCAAAGCACATGAAACCAGAAATCCATGTGAATGAATAACAGTTCCTATCCTGAGTCTAATGTATAACGTCTTACATAGACACATCTCCCAATTCATGTGACGCTACCTGACAAGTGGGGGATTAATTTATTGACTGGGTATTAAGTACCATCTGAATACATTTGCATGGTGCAAGATGACCAATCACTGATTATTCTTCTGATATGCTTAAAGAAAGGAATGTTCACTCAATGGTCATGGTATGTTGCTTTTGTTGAAGCATGAACAACATGCATGAGGATCATTGTAAGTTTTGATCTTGTCAAGAGTCATTCGTGTGCTTTTCAATGCATTTGTTGAAAAATCTCAGTAATATTAAAATGGAAGCACCCAAAATGCAGAGATGTTTCATGGTGTGAGGATTAAATGACCAAGCCATGACATCTTCAGCCTAACTTCTGGTATTCATATTCTGTATTGAACTCCTTTATTCCATCATGCACAGGAGAACAAAAACGACAGGAGAAAGAGGGTGAGTTCTCAGTGCCAGCAGTGGCCAGTGTGAAGCCAATCGTTCCTGTGCGCAACTATGAGCCGAATGTCATCAGCCCTTCGTCGCGTAGCCGACATCCATTGGACGTCCAACAGCGCTTCGCCAACCTCAATCGAGATGTGAGTCATCTGCAGAATGTGGTCATTTCCATAGAATCCTCTCAGATGAGAGTGATCATTGGTAAAATCAATTGTGAACATTTCACTGTGGTAGGACCTGATGGAGAAAATTCTGGAACTGGAACGTGAAGTGAAGAAGAAGGATGATGCAGTACGAGACCTCCAAGAATACCTGGACAACCTCCTGGTCCATGTGATGGAAAAAATGCCAACACTTTTGCAGATCTCCTACTCATCCTCTTCTCTCAAGTCCTTTTAACTATTTCTCTCCTATCCATGTATCTAACTGTTGTGGTCACTATTACATGCTGATAGTATCACATATCACCAAAGACAACCAATTGGAGGTGGGTGAAAAATGTCAGTGTCATACCATAGTGAATAGAACACAAAATCTATGGCAGTTGTAGAGTATTTATAGGAATGTGATTTTCCTTCTCTGTGAATGCCAATAAGATTAAGCATTGCTGATTCAAGAAACCATAGACATGTCTCATTCCTGGGATACCAATGATGGAGATGTACAGGGTGTTTCATAAGTCTTGGTAAACTTTTTTTTGTAGCTTGGGAATGGCTGAACCATTTCAGAATATTTATGGTTCATCTCAGAGCCCCTTTCTTAAATATCTCATATCCCATTCTTTGAACAAAACTAAGGTTGCCCTTGCAATTAAAAAAAAGGCTCCTGTATTTACAAAAAAGTTATACTTTTCATTCAATAAGCCAGCTTTTTTCATGCCCTGGCATTCCACAAGATTTCACAGGCTGCCTATATTGGGAATGATGGTAACCAAAGTAATTATTGGGACTCATCATTGAAAAGTCACTAGCATTCATAGTTTTGTTCATTGAATGGAAAATGAATGCTCAAAATTATAGTTAAGAGCGGGGGTCTCTGATGATAATTTGAAATGGCACTGGCATTTCCAAGCTACATTGCTTTAAACCTGTTTCAAAAACTTATAAACCACCTTGTATATTATATTTTGGCATCCAGAATCCAAAAATGAGGACATAAAAGCCAAATATCTCCAGATGAGTGAAAGATTTTCCACCTGTGACATTGCATGTGATATTTCCCTTTCATCATGTTTTCTTGCATCGTTCCTGTTGTGATTGTGCCTCATTCTTGCCTCCCATCATGATTTCGTTCTGCTTGGCAGCTATGTCCAGTATGATCATCTTATTTTTCAGGGATTCTGCAATCCCACTGGTCTTATGTCTTGTTTTCATTCTTCTGCATATGATATAAGATAGTAATTGGATATATTGTCTTCCTGTTCAGTTCTAGTCTTGGCATCTATATAGCGACAGAAATAATCCTGTATTTAAATCTTATGAAATTAATTACTATTGTGCGTTTGTGAGAAAATTATATTTTTTCATGGAGCCATTATAAATAGGCCTATTGTATTTTATGAATAATTCAAATATGATTCTTGTACAGAGTAATTTGAATAAAGACCAGTGGTACTGGACTCCCTTGCTCGAATTTGATGTCTGATGATATGAGTACGAATACAGATGAATAAACATGTTTTTTTTTCTGAACTGTGCTCAAGTGAAAGCTGTTCAAGGGGAGTTTTAAAGTGATGCTAAATTAATTTTATTCCTGTTTGGAGCTGAAACCCTTGGATTTGATGTTTCATAGCTCAATTGTGGATCCAACTCGGGGCATCTGGCAAGCATGGTCTTGGGAGAAAAGAAAGAAGTCATGAGGATGGTGCTGGTCTTTTAAAGGGCCATGGCCACGAAAAGTCAAGCTGGAATGAAATGAGTCAACATGTTTATTCCAGTCTCAAATGCAGAAGTTTGATATTTGCATGTTTTCTTTGCATTTCCATCCCTCACATTCCCCTTGTTGTCATCACGATGTAAGAAAAAAAGTCTTGATGAGAAGAGACGGATGAGAGATCACATCGGAGATACGAGAATTGCTGCCAATTTGCGCTATGGCTCTTATCGATTTCCGATTATCGTCATGCAATCCGATACGACACGTAAGCTATTAAACAAGCATTTAGAATCTATAGACCACAAGTACGCCACCAAGCAGGTCGGACTGTGTCGAGCCAAATCCGCCGACCCGGGAAATTTTTTGGGCGCTCCAAGAATTCCAGCAAATAAACGTCAAGAGAACAGCTAGCAGACATTCGATCGCGATCAAGCGACTGAGTCGGGGACGGACCTTCACCAGCATCCCCAGCCCATTCTTGCAGAGTTAGGCCATGAATCCACCATCCCCTCGGCACTGCGTCATCACCCCATCAGTTGTTCTTGCATAATTATATATCTCTACGCGTCTGGAATGGGACGTTATGTTAGTAGACAGAGCTTTCATAACGCAGAGTTGTCACATTCGATTTTTGCATGGCAGAAAGCCCTTAACGTAATTATTCCCATTCGCGCAGGGCAATGTCTAATTTGGATTTCCACGTCGCATTCGACCCGCATGCATCGTTACTTGGTTTGAAAAACCCACACTTGCGATCGTTATCGTTCTCGGTGACGTAAAACCTTGCCAATAAGGTAAATCGCAACTTTGACGTCATTTCCAAATCTATTCAAGAATTTGGATCGATGCATTTGCATATGAAACCGCAACGAGAAGCCTCTCGTCTGGCGCGATACACGGCTGTCGCATTTCACTTTCTATATATCCAACATACGGTACTTTTCTTTAATGTCCAATATCCAACACAACGACGCATTTTAATTCCATTGTCGCACTTCACTTCCTTATTTCCACAATTGATTAGGGAAAAATATTACTGCAGCATCAGTTTGAAGAATGGTATTGCAACCGTACCGAGAGTTTAGGCACCGATCCCTTTCGAGTGCTCCCACCACGTCAATAAAAATAAATTATAAGCGCCTCGTAACCCTCATTCGTATGATTGGCCCACTTAGTAGGCTAATCACGAACGACCGTTAGGGTAATTGGCAACGTCAAACTCCCCATTATCCTCTACTGTTACTCGCAAATTGATGCTCAGCTTCACAATAATTAATGTCGAGTTTTGCGGAAGAGGAACCTGACGCTAGCATCCCTGTTTCAAGATGGCTCTGACATCCAACATCCCTGTCTCAAGATGGCGCCTTGCATGCAACTCGCCCGACAACGGAGGCCTCTCGTCCTCCACGCGAGTTTCATCCCCAAGAAATCGAGCAAACCCCGAAAACTTCATCCGGGCCGCAACGGGAATCCGAAAATCTGAAGCCGGGGAGCCGGAATCCAGGAAAGACGCGTAGGTCAAATCATATTCGGTATTGTGGGATATATGGCCTAGGCTCTGACGTCGTTGCAAGTCGGACAGAAAGGGCGAACATGCAAATCTGACATTTTTCTGGAGCGGAAGAATGATTATCAAGGAATATCCATCTCTGTACCAGAGAAATTGAGAGTCCAAGTGCAGCGGCAAATATTCCTCGATGTAAATTTCCAATAATCGTTGGAAGAAAAGCAAAAATTTTGCGTTCCTTTCTGTCGGACCTGCGACAATATGCTTTTCCCTCGGATGCCAAAAAAAAGGTTCTTTGGCGTCCAATACCGTTCAAGGAAGCAATTTCGCGTTGCAAATGAATTTCTCGATTTGATTTTGGCGCTAATTCAGGACCAAGCCTGGCGCGACGGTTGCCAATATCGATCGGCACACGCACGTTTGCATTTCGCTTTCTCGTTTCTGACTCGAAAAACCTCGAACGCAGTACCTAAGACCTTAGCGAAAGCAAAAAATTGAGAGCGAAAACCGATAAACCATTCAGCGCCGATCGAAAAAAGCGTCACGACCAAGTTACAGCAAATTACTGCGAAAGCCAACCGAAAGGTGAAGGGGCGACAGCCCCCTTCTACAACATCCAAACAAATAAAATACATTTATTGCCCTCTTGCCCAATATATTGACGACGAGAAAGCAAGACGAAATAGAAGATGGACTCCAAAAAGTTATTTCTATCTTGCAGAATCATGTAGCCAGGCGAGAAAGAATGCCCCCTCCCCTCCCCTCCCCTCCCCTTTGCCCTGTAAGGCAGTGTTTCCCAAACAGTGTGCCGCGGCACACTGGTGGGCCGCCAGTACGGCTTAAGTGTGCCGTGAGATTTCAGAGTTGACAAAAAAACTAAAAAACTAAAACTAAAAGAAAAAAATTAAAACAAGAGGGAACGCCATCTTTCAGTAGAAAACGAGCTGAGAGTAGCACTATCACGCCTCGTATCAAACTGCTGTGTTCAGCGAAGCAATCACAAGTTTCCCATTGAAAGTAAGTAAATGGCTAGGTGTGCCGTGGAAAGTTTAAGTGTCCTTATGTGTGCCACATATTAAAAAAGATTGGGAACCACTGCTGTAAGGCATCCACGTGCAAACTGGAACTAGAACGTCGCGTGTCGCGTAAGCACGATGCAGATGCACGATGCACGATGCACGATGCAAGGCGTCTGGCTTGAAAACGATATGGGACTGGCTTCCTTCGCGCATCGCATGTGTCCCGGTAAAGGAGGCGTAACGAGGAAGAAATGATCGCTCTATTAGAAAAGAAATGGAGATCTTCATTTCCATAATTTAATGCAAAAGTGAAGAGAGCGCCAAGCCATCGAGGCGGATTCCAGGCTCATTTCCAACGCCAAATATTTTAAATCGAAATTTTCTCGCACGATCTTTCGAGTTTCCATCGTCAAAAAATTAGCAAACTTTCGTCTGCAAACGTGGCGACCATAAATGTTCGCGGACTCGGCGCAGGTCGTTCACCGAGGATCATGGCTTCATCCGGGCATCGTGCATGCATCATGCACGCATCATGCACGCATTATGCATGCATCGTGCCTGCCCAAATCACATTGCGACGGTTTGTGAACGCGCTTCACGTTTTCTCGAGTGGATATCCCCGAAGCATGTTTCATTTGCATGACACGAGAATCCCCGAGGACATCCGAGGACTATATGAGGACATCCGAGGACCATCCGAGGACTTCCGAGGACCATCCGAGGACTTCCGAGTCCGTTCCCGTCTAGATTGCGTAATCCACGGTCACGAGACTCTCAGCTCGTCCATCCCAAGGTCCCGGCTTAATAAAATATTCATAGGAATCGGACCGGGGGGGGGGGGGGGGGGGGGGGGGGGGGAGGGGCCTTTTTTAACCGCGGGGGGTCTGACCTCGGAGTTTTGACAGTGGCGTAGCAAAGATCACAGGGGTAGGGGAGGAGGGGAGAGGAGGGGCCTTTTTTAAACGCTGGGAGTCTGACCTCGGAGCCCCTAAAGACGGAAGAATTCAATTCTTGATTCCGGGCATTCTCTTTCGCTCGTCGGCCTCGTAGATCGAGATCGAGATCGCTCCAGGATCGCTTAAGGATCGCTCTGAGAGTTTCGGCGTTCTCACCGTTCAGCCCGTAAAGAAAATGATCCGAAATAAAGCTCTGCGATTTGGTCCTATTTGAGAAATGATGAGCTAAAATAAACCAGTTGGTCGACACGGAAACCGAGCGCGCCGACCCGGTATTCCACGGATAATTGAATGCGATCGACCCAGATCCTCACGCGACGCGGATCGTCGGACCCATTCTGCAAATACCACGATTTCACGGCGAAAAACCGTTAATATATCGTTCGTTTGCTCATCTGATGAACGCTCGGATCGAGAAACGGGATCCCCCGGGAGATTAACGGAAGCGGAAAGCGCGAGGGGAACGGCACGATCGGCAGCGACTGGAAACTGATCTTCATCGGATCTTAATCGGAAGTTCATCGGATGCTCATCGAATGGAAAATGTCTCTGCGTTCGGGTCCGTCGATTCCGTTTTTTTTTTTTTGCGGAAGAAAATACGCTCGGGGGTCGACAGCCGACTGCCACATCGCGTCGGTGCCGACCGTGCAAAAACGTCACATTTTTTTTTTTAGCACGAGCGGCATGCCCGAGGTCTCGTGGATTTCGGTCGGCGGCTCGTCGAGCCGCACCAGCAGCTCCAAATGCGAATGCGACTCGAAACCGCATTCCCTGGCGGAACGGAACTTCACCTTGAAAGTGGAGCTGGTTGCAATCCGAGGCATATCGAATCCCCATTCATTTCGTATCGATTTGTCTCATAGACTTAGTGTGTTCGGCTTCGACGTGTTCATCGATTGAGCCAAAAATCATTGGTTCAAGTGTTTTTTTTTTCAGGGTTCAAAACGTCGAGTGACGAAACCATCGACGATCGATCCAGAACTGGATGCGTTCCACCCAAATATCATCAGCGTTGCGAGGCAACAAGAAACGTTGAAACGTGAAAAAACGAGCGAGAGCCGAGTGCCACAAGTGGCTGGTCGATCGCCTGCTTCGTCACCGGTGGCCCCCCCCCCCCCCCCCCCCCCCCCCCCCCCCCCCCCCNCTTCGTCCCCGGGGGCCCCCCCCCCCCCCCCAAATCCTTCGCTTCGGCAAGCAGCTGGTGACGTGTGACAGAATACAAAGAATACAAAGGATCAGTCACCTCTTCTCTTCCCAGCAGGATTCCCGGATCGATCGAGTGAGAAACTGGAAAAATGGTTGCTTCTTCCCGTTCCATCTGTCGAAGCTGGGATACGGGCCATCGGAGCCACGCGTCAACAATCCCAGAGGCCATTATCTCTCTTGTTGCCAGGTCGACTTTGGAACAAACTTTTGCATACATATTTTTTTTTTTAGATCCACGCGCCGAACTAGAACGCTGCGTCCTTGTCCGTTGATAACATCCGACACGAAAACAGCTTATCTATAGTCTTTTTTATGGCGTGGTTCACGTGTCCGCAATCGTGAGACCCGCGCAACCGCTGGTAAACAATAATATCGAAGAAAAAGGAAGAAAAAAAAGAAGAAAAAAAAGGATAGGGGAAGGACCTCGTCCCCGGCCGACCTTGGCCAGCCGACGCTTCTCATCCCGTCCTTGAAGGGATGAGATGGGAGGACATGGGTGGATGAGGGAGGACATCCTGCTGACTGCAGCGACTCGTGGGGGATCCGGCGCCGCTGCGTGCTGACAACACTGCATCGTGCTGACAACACTGCATCATGCTGACAACAGCAGATAAGGGGAATGTGGGGCGAGAGACACGTGTCAATTGCGTCGGAGTTTCCAACACGCAACGTCAACTATTATTTTCTCACATGAACTCTCACAGCCCGGAAACAAAGAAAATACGAAGATGAACAGATGAGGAAAAGATCACAAACGCGAGTGTTTTTTTTTTTGCGTATTTTTCACTCGGGATTCCTCTTGCGAAGGTCACCGAATGCAGAAATCCAAAAATCGACTCCTGAGATCTAAAATGAAAAAGAAAAAAAAACTGGGTTGAGAGGGTGGATGGGAACGAACGCAGATGAGTCTGGCCGCGTGCCAGGATGGGGGCAAATAAGAAAGGGGCAGATGAAAAGAGGCAAATCGAGATACTCACCTGGGCACGGTCGTTTCTGCGGGGAATGAAAACCGGATCACAGACGAGAAATTTCGCCTAACTGTTGTTGCTTCCTTTTTTCTCCACCTTCTTCTTGTTGGCCTCGGTGTTCTGCATCTTGACGACGATTTTCCTCACGTGTCCGGACGGGTCGTGATGGTTCGTGTGCTCGCTTGCCTCTTTCTTCGTCCGCTGCTTTCCGGAGTGGCCGGCGCCCAGGTACTTGTCCTGGTCGAAATTGTAGTGTTCGTATTCGTCGAAATGGTTCTCGGACATCTTAACGTGCTCCTCGAAGGACAGACGGTTGTTGGGGTATGAGAGGTTCAGCACTCCGACCATGGGTGACGGCGACTGCGTTCGAGAAACAAACAGCTGTGTGGCTCTGATATCGACGGGTGAGTGGGAACTGCGCCTGGCTCGGTCTGTGGCACGTTGAAGGAGGGGAAGGACCCAGACGATAGAGGCCTACGCGAGGGATGGTGCGGGGGAAGGAAGGGACCGTGGGGTCGTGGGTGCGGGAGAACCGCGGGATGTCGGAGCCCAGAGGAGGACTCTATATCTGCGCTGGAGGACGTAAATAGAGGCCTTCACAGAGATCGAGTCACCGCGGAGACGCTACGCGATGGATGATACCACACCGCGTATTAATCCTCCAGCGGAGGCCTCCACGAAGGACGTTGCCCACTTTCAGCCCTGCTGTTTGCCTACTAGAACGTTCTCTGGCAGGACTCCAGCACAACCTGAGGCGGATTACTCGAAGATGCCTCGTACCATGACCGTTCTCCTTCCGGATGCCTTGGCTACAACACCGACCACGTGTTAGGAAATATAATAGCCGTCGTGGTATGCCGACGTATATCGAATCGCAAGGTAACCACGGAATGCGCTTCAAGGACTACCACCCCGGGGTACAGAAACCGGAATCCGAATCAGTTTTTCATGCCAAGGCCTCTGTTTAGGTAAGAATCCCAAAGGGCAATTACAGGGATCGTATAACCACGGTATAACAAGGAGGGATTCTTTCGTAACGATGAGCTCGATGAAGTTGTGTGGGAAAGAGAATCAACGGAAATGGCTGGAGGGTAAAAGGGCAGGAGTTCCTTTCCAGATTACTCTTGCACATGGGTGGATCAGAAACAATGGAGAGGTTTTATACTTTCTTTGGGTCAATGCTGCATTGAATGGCACGACTTCAGTCCATTGTACTCATTTGCCCTTCATGCATGCCCTAACCACAGACAACAGGAGCAACAGAAAGGTCCTGCATCGAAACGTCAGCCTACACTTGACAAAATGACACTGCAAGTCACATGAATCCCATAGTGCTGTCAAACCATGCAGTAGTCCTACTAATATGACTGTTGTAATACAGTGTTATAATGTAAAGGTACTAAGCCATACACCCCAGTTCCCTGTATCATGGAAAAGAAGCAGCAATGAGCAGGGGACAACTGTGAAATTTTATTTGAGTGCAATCCATCCCCAGAGATTTTTACAAAGTCCCAACTTCCTTACAAAAAAGAATGAGATGAGCATAAGAGGTGGAAGGAGAGTGAGATCACTTGAAAGCAGCATCCCAGGTGTTCTCAATGGGAAGCCAACGGGATTCATCCAGGGCATCCCAGAACTCCTCGCTCCTCTCGATCATCTTCTGATTCATGGCATCCACATCGATGGGGCAGGTATGGTCTATGTGGCAAAAAGAAACGACGTGAATCGATCGAGACGACATGCGGAGTCTTCGGTCGTCATGGGGAGGACTCACCGATGAGAGTGGAATCCTCATAAACACCACTGTCCAGGATGTCATCTAGTGAGATGTCTCCCTTTGCACTGGGGGTTTCAGGCAGGTGCGGGCCATACGAGCTCCCGGCGTCGTACGCCCCAGTCGCTCCACCTGTGCCATACAGGGATGTGGAGTATGCTCCATATGCCCCCCATCCACTTGTGTCTCCCCAGTAGTTTCCATAGTACTGGCTGTATTGTGACTGCCTGCAATGAATTAGAAGAGATTATTCTTCACATTGCTCTCATAGGATTGAAAGAAGTCAAAATCAGCTGAGCAAAGACCAGCATGTAGACCCTCAGACCCCTCATTCTAAATGGAAGGAAGTCTGGGATTTGTAAACAATATGTTGGAGAGAAAAAATACAAGTAACTAATATAAAAACAAGTCAGACTTTAAGCTGCTGGTGATGATGAACACCAGCTTAAAGATAATGGCACTGTTGCTATCCATACTCATCCTCCTCATGTTCTATTTTTCAATGAATTTCTGCATCATTACATATGGGTTTCTGCCATCAGAATTGAATACCTCAGGCTAGATCAATTCAAAACTTCAAACTTGAATTCTTAAAAAAAATTGTGAACATTTTCAAATTGACAGGAATCAGAAATAAAAAATATAATCAGGATCCAGATTCTGAGATCAGCTTCATCAGTTAAATGCACATATAGCCACAGTTTCATCACCCTCTTCCTTATTTTTTGCATATCTTGGAGCAATGGTGATCCCAAAATGTTTGAAAAACTCAAACAAGCTCCAAGATTGACTAACCATGGCATTAAGTAGTCTAATGAATTTATGTTTTTCTTCAGAATGAGAAAGTGCCAGGCAAGAGGCCATACGTTGTGGTGGATGGCGTTGAAGATACTGTTGTGCCTGTAGTGTTCTTTTTCATCATGGCCAGGCTGACTTTGATGGGCTTGCCACCCAGACCCCGAAATCCATTCATTTGCTTGAGGCAGTCTCGATGGTCTGCAGGATCACTAAATCGCAGAAAGCCATAGCCTCGACTTGCACCATTCTGGTCCACCATCACTGTCACAAGAGCCATCAGAGTACTTGCTTAAAGACAATTGTACATCACAGCACTGAGATTTTTCCAGCAAAAGTTAAGCTCCACCAACAATTGAAATTTTTGTTTTTCTATCAAAGATGAGGGAGAACTCTTAGAAATAACTGTCCAATAAGCAATCTCCAGTAAGTAATCTTGTTTCATTCAAGCAGAATCATGACAAAGAGACAGAACTCAACCAGTAACAAGTAATCAGAATGGGACCTTTGGCAGTGCGAAGGGATTGATATCGTGTGGCGAAAGTCTTGTAGAGCAAGGTGTCATCAACCTCTGCAGTGAGCTCCCCAACCCACAGGGAATGCTCTGCCTCGCTTGCATTCCTCTCAGTTGCACTGCTGTGGTGCAGTCGGAACTTCACCGGCTGACAGCAATAGAAAATACATCTTACATTTTCTCTTCAGAAATAGAACATGCAGATGAGATAAGCTAGGAATATCACAGTTCATGTAAATAAACAATGCCTATGAGAACTATGGTGCACTATTAATCAGGTTATACCAAAATTTGTAACATTGAAAGATTAATTTCCAGATCAAAATAAGAGTATTGATAACATCACAGAAAGCATTGAGAGATAATGTTGGTCACTCACAGGTCTGGAGTTAGGAATGATCTTGCCATTGACCTTCTGCATCACAGACAAAGCAGCCTCATCATCAGAGAAGTTGATGAATCCATAACCTATTGGTTTTCCAGTGTACCTGTGACAAGTCCAAATTTATAGAATTCATGCATTGCATCTTATGAAAGGCAAGCAGGAAATCCTGTTCACCTGTTTTTGATTATCTTCACGCTTCTGATGTCATAGACCCCCATGAGACCAAAGGCACGCATGAGGAAGAGTTCATCCATGTAATCCTCAATCTGCAGGTAACAGACATTTGTATGCTTTAGAGGTGATTAAACTTAGATCCTAAAGCATTGGGCATCCAATCTGTAACCATCCAAACGCCAAAAGTTCTTTATTTATAGTTTCAGCAAAAAATTCAAGACTCACATCTCCCATCCATAATGAACCTTCATTGGCCATTGTGGTTCCTGATCTGTCACCTATAGCAATTCGCTAGAGAAACATCACAAGAGAAGTCAGCATTCTGAAGATCAGATCTCAAAGAAAACTTCTCAAAGATTGGAAAAATTATGAAGCTGTTAGGATGTCCCCACTCCCAGGCTCTGGATGCTTCCAAGTCGGGGTTGCACAAAAATTAGGCTCCATTGAGAATAAGAACTAGACATCAATACAAAACAATATGATTTTATTGACCAAGGCAAGGTCTTGTCACCAAAAAGCAGTCACTCAGACCAACTAGAACAAATGGTATCACATAGGTGTAATTATATATAGATATATATAGAATTACTTTCTGAAAAAAAAAAAAACAAAACTCCATGCTCTCTGCTCTTCTGGTGAAATATAGTCCATTTTAGCTAGAATGCTAGCTACTCCATGAAGACAGCAAGCCACACATCACTATAAACCTTTCTCTGATGCTTCATCCTTCATCCACTCCCTCCATTCCCTCGGCATGGGAACAGGACGACAGGATGCCACGAGAAAAGTTAGGACTATACCATCTCAAGAAGGGAAAGAAGCAGGGAGTTTTTTCTCAGAAATGTATATTTTGCACTCTCCATCACCTTCAAATCTCCATAATCGAAATAACACAAAAGCCTCAATGTACCCATCAGAACATGTGAAGTTCAACTTTCAAATGAAAATTCCACTTTCAATCACCTGCTCTCTAATTTTCATACCATCAAGTTGAAATAACCAAAATCATGAGGACTCACTTTTCCTCTCAGACATATACAAAAACTTATCTGATTAAAGTCATAATAAAAATAATGGCCCCACCAGATAATTCAGAGGCACAATCCTGAGCTTTGGTACTCATATAATGTCAAAGAGAGAAATGCAGGCAGAAGGCCCTATGCAGGCTTGGATTGAGCAGTAGAGAGATCGAATGGAGGCTTGGGAATAGGGCCATAAAGGAAGCCGAGAGTGTTCTGAACGTTATGAGTCATATGGCCTTGAAAAGGGTTCGGTAGTACCGATCGACCAGGAGTCGGTTGCTGCTGAACCTTCACGTCAATGATGGCAGAATCAATTGAAGCCATTGAATCTGAAACACTTGGTAGGGGATTTGGTATGGATGGAGGCATTGCAACAGGCATGGAAAAAGGGAATGGTTGGACATAGGATTCCAGCTGAGGGAATGGAAATCTCGGGACATGTTGATTGTAGAAAGGCACATATTGGTTCACACTTGGATTAGAAGGGCTCAGCAATGGGAACATGGGAGAGCCTAGGGCACACTGACCCTGCATCATTGGCAAACCTTGGACCAGGGGCATTGGAGATCCCTGAAACTGGGGCGGAAAGCTGGAATTCCAGAATACATCTGACCGTGGCTTGGATTCACCTAAAAGGAGACCATTAAAGTCAATATGACATCGGAAAATCAAATAATTAAAAAGTTTTAACAGCATAGAATGAAACCATGAATACTTAATCTACAGCTTGCACAAGATGATTTTTGAAGCTACATTGTTGCCCAAGCAATGAAATCAGATAGAAAAAATAAAGAAATCTTCTTTCTTTCTTGCAATATTTCATGGATTCTCAATTCTCAAGGGCAGAATCAAGGTTTAATGCATATGTAAGGACATGGAAGACCACCTTGCATCAGTTATAAAGATACAAGTATACAGTCACAGCCCAGCTCAGAAACCAGAAGGGGTTAGGGAGGATAAAAATAATTGAGTCACTATTTCCAGAATTGGGAGAGTTGAGTTAAGCAAGTCCTTCCGATGAGATAAATTATCATGTATCTTAAAGTTGAAATTGCCTGCAAGGAGGATAGAAACTGACTGAGACTGACTGAAAGGTCTCAACATAAGAAGCATGACTTTTTATTCCAGCTTAATGAGGAGGTTCAAATCAAAGACAGATGCTTTACAAACAAGTTCTAGGGAGTTTCTTTTCTGTCATCCTCTTCATCAAAGGACACCTGGAGTTGCATGCAAGCGAAGAACCAAAGAACCAAATAATATGGGAAGATTACAACTGGATTAGAGACAGGGTTGGGTGCAAGTATGAGAGTGAACATGACAAGTGACACACTTACCACCTGTACTTTCAGGGGTACCATATGCCTTCTTTCCATGCCTCTCATCCTTCTTCTCTGGGATGGTAGATTGGTTGGGCTCCAATCGTTTCTCACCTCCCTTCTTTGACAGTTTTTTCCCATCTCGATTATCAATGGGTTTTCCCTGCACAATGAAGGATGCACATTCCATGCTAGGACATGACATGTGACAGAGCCTGTCCAGACACAAATTCAATTCCAAGTCTGACCTTGTGAGAAGTGACAATTGATGCATTTCTAGCCTCATATCTCAGCAGAGGAGCTCCAACTTTGAATGCAGAGGCAGCAGTTGCATCATATCTCTGTGTCTGCTGCTGCGGTTCTCTGTAGAACTGACGATCCCACTCTTTCTTTCGCCTCAATTCTGCCAACCGATGAGGGCAGTCCCTGATCACATGTCCTATGCAGCCACAGTACCGACAGCCCCGGTCATTTGGTGGCTGCTCATCTGTCAGTGACCCCCTCATGAAGAAGTAGTCCTGCAAACAATGCATAACTGGATGGGTCAGTATTTAAGTAGCCTAAAATTAAGATAAGCAAACCTAACTCCATCAAGTTATTGATCCAGTGAAGTTTTAATGGCAAATAAAAATTATTTGCAATTAGTAAAATCTCCCTTTATGAATCTCATGCAGAAAGGGTGATGAATTTTTCTTTCAATGCCTGTCTCCTTGAGGTATCAAAAATAACTTTAATATTTCAGATTCACTGGATTGGTTTGGATGACACCATGTCACCACTACGGTCCATGGTGTCATTCCATTAAGAATTTAATGCTTCCCTTGCCAGAACTGGAAAGGGAATAAGTTATCAAGCAGCTGTAAAAGACAATACAACTTTTTTTCTCTTAATTTTCAGCGTTACAGGAAAAGAATCAGCTTAATAAATGCTGCAAGAAAGAGAGGAAGAAACTTGGAAGGATGTTGGCTCACTTCAGGATATTTCACTGAATCTGGTAACTTGTCTTGAGGTGTCCCAAAGACTTCCCTTGCTCGGATGAATGCCTTGCGGATGTACAGAGCCACTGTGCAAGTGATACAACACCCACATTATTTTGAAATCTCAATAAATGTGATGAGTTCAAACATTCAAATAACTACTTACTCTTGAAGGAGACTCCATTCCCAAGGTTATGGCTCAAGTCAAAGGGATCTACATAACCCATGCAGGAAAAAGTCACTGAATAAAACTACACTTTCACTGATCAATTTTTTTTAGAATGTCTTACCTTCAATGGCAATAGCACTTCCTGTCCAAAGCTTTTCAAATCGGGTAAGAGGTTTCTTCTGCCGAATGGTGATGACATGTTCGTCGAAGTCAAAAACTCGTGCATAGTAGTCGAGGAGACCCACCCAGAGCATCCCAGTACTCTCCACATTCATCTTGAAACCATCCCACACATCTCCCTGAAGAGACATCAACATTTCAATGTGAAAACCAGCTAAATGGAATGGTCATTGATGGAAGGCTTACAATTAGAGAACATGCACAAACTGTATTCTTACATTTTATGATACACTGCTTAGATGCTGTGATATGAGACCACCACTGTCCTGGGTCTCAATTTCAATCATTTGTAGGGTAACAACCTCTATTTTTTTTTTATATTCTCAGGGTAGCTCTCTGAGTAAAGTCACAACACCATTTGCCTTCATATTTCTCTCCTCTGAACACTGACTCAATTTCATCTTAGTCTTAACTGGCCCTATTTTCTTCCAGTTCATTTTCATATTTCAGCACCTATGCAGTTTCCTTCTGATTTTTTGGGCCTTCAATTTGCTACTTCATTGTGCACATAGACTGTGTCCCAGGAGGTAAAAAGGTTGAAAACTGCTCCCCATTCTCTATTGTGTTCTGACTGGTCAAGCAATTTCATCTGATATCATTTTCTAAAATAATTAATCACATGAAACCTTATATCTGCTTACAACCAGATACACATCCCATTAAGCTCCTACTCATTTCCAGTTCAATCTACATGCATAAATCACTGCCTCAATTCTGCAAATTACACCCAAGGGTACCAGGTATCAAACAGCTAATGAACAGCAATTCAATTTAAAATCAACATGTCTTCCTTGAAATTCAATGCTTGTCAAGGACAAGCATTGGATTTCATGACATGGACTGATCTCAAAGTGCCTGGTCTTCCTTCAATATCTCTCCTGTACCTCACAGGAGAAAAGAGAAAAATTGTGCGGTTCTTCATAGACTTCAAGAACTGCACCAAACATCTGCTGTTTCTCTAAGTTGGGTGGAGAAGGCAAAGTGAAGTGGGTGCTATTTTCATATCTCACCTCTCCCACCCCACTGAGAAAGGCTTAACTATGGGTAGGGCTAAAGCTTGAGAATAACTCACCAGTTGATGAGTATCTTCAAAGAAGTATGTATCCCACCCATCAACCATCACCTTAGTTTTCAGATTTTTTGCATCTTCAAGCTACAAGGGGGGAAAAGCTTGCATAAATAATATCATATTAAGCAATTTCATCATGCAATGTATACACTCATGATGATTCAATGACTCAATGAAGTCAGAAACTGAAGTAAATCATGGAACAATGCTCACCTCCTGGAGGACAGGTATGACAGGAGGATCTCTCTGCTGAAGGAAATGTAGGAGCATGATGATGTAAGCATAGGATGAGAGGCTGCCTCGAGATGCATCTCCCATAGAACATGTTTTGGCAAACACTTTGATTGTGTATCCAAGGGCCTATAGCCATCCCATAAAAAAAGTATAAGTCACTTTCTTACAATCTACATGTTTCAGAGGGAAATGTGTAAACTTTAATCTCACCTTCACTCGCTTGTCCAATGAGGCATATGTGAGGAGGAGTAAAGTGTTACGTTGAGCTAAGGTATTATAGAGACTGATGTCACCTTCCAGATTGGATAGGATATGAACAAACTTCACAATCGGCACCTTGGCCTGTGTGATGCCAATCACATCCTTAAACTCAAGATTCCGTTTCAGCATGTCAGCCAGGACTTCAATGGTTGATTCCAGGGCAACATGCTAAAGAATTGGAGATTAAATCATTTAAAATGCATCTACATGAAAAACATGCAAAAGTCATTAGGTCTTCACCTCTCCAGTGGGGTCATCAGTGAATGTGAGGCATATGTCCAGGTCTGAGTGTTGGAAACCAAATCCATTGCATGAGGAGCCAAACAATTTTAGGCGTGCTTTTGGCCACCATCCTTGAATGTACTTTTCCAACCTCCTCAGAATTACTTCTCGACTATTAATATCTTCTTGAGTTGGAGACCACTTATCTGCAAGAGATATTTATGATTGCAAAATTATTCTGGAAAAAAAACCTTGCCTTCAAAAACAACTATTCTAATGAGTTTATATATGCTCAGTAATGCTTCAAATAGATGACAATCCAATGAACATCAACTAATCGCTATCTATCATTCCCTCAGCATAATTGTAACCTCCACCTCTAAAAGCCTGAAATGTGAAAGAAATGTGAGGCCCTGGATTCTTCCATACCATCCTATCTGAGTTTCTAAAACAGATGTCAGTTTCAACTTAGGGTGGAATGATGCACATACACTGTCTCAAAAAAAGGGGGGCCAGTTTATTTTTTTAAATATCTCCAGCATATTTCAAATGAACTTCACATTTTTCTGAACATGAAATTTCAGATTTCTGCCAAGTTTAAAAAAAATCTAAATAATTGATTCAAGTGCTATAACTTCCTGTCCAAGGCTTTTCAAATGGGGTAGGAGGTTTCTTCTGTCGAATGGTGCATAGTAGTCGAGGAGACTCACCCAGAGCATCCCAGTACTCTATAACTTTGTAAAGTTGAAGTATAGAAAATTGCAGTGAACAACTAATGTGAATAATGCTCCTTGCAAGCATCACCTAGCTCCAACATAATTGAGCCCAGGCAGCAGGGAGTCTCAGTGAGGAAACTAGTTTTTGATATTTATTTCCTTGTGATTTTACATTACTTTAATGTTCAGCTTGCATTTTTTTATATTTCCCTATCATCATGTTCTGCAGGTCTAAGGTATAACTCTCCATTCTTAGTTTTTCTTTTCAAGTCATACATCACAGTATATCATGGAATTCATAGAAGAAGACAAGCACCTGATAAAAGGCTTCTGAGTGATGATGCTCTCTTCAATTCATGAAGAAACTCACAGAAAAAAACTAGTCAAGATCATAAGATGCTGAAAAAACAGCTGAAAATGGATAGACTGACAGAAGACAAGGAAACAGCAGTCCACAAACCACCAGTGCAGTGGAAAATATTGAGACTGTGGAATGACTGGTCCTCAGTCAACAAGGGGAACCTCAAACTCATCCAACAATGAATGTGACAATAGAAATTTATCAAAAGCAATTTATCACTTAAACTGTTTGCTGCCAGCACTGTCATTTAGGAGAGTGCTAAAGTAATGCATCTGGCAAGAAGTAGCATGTGGATTGCTCATTCACAGTGATTTTTGCTACTTCAACTTTTAAAAGTTGCATTGGTGATTAATTCTTTTACATTAGGCAGGAATCTTTTATCATTCACTTGAAATGCTGCACACAGAAAGGCATGAGCTTTGCATGATATTTGATGGAGATATTTGAAAATATAAACTGGTCCCCTCTTTTTTTTTAAGGCAAAATGTAAAATATTAAAAATGGCTGTTTTCCTTTACTGCATGAAACTTGCTTGTATGCATGACTGGAAAGTTTTATATGGTCAGTTGTTGGCATACGTCAGCAACACCAAATATGTAATTATATACAACCAAGTCTATAAGTATCTCATACTTCATTAACATACGAATTCACGTGTGCCAAGACAATATTGCCAAGATGACAAATGGATAACATTTTTTGGAAAGGTTCTTGGCTTCCCAACATTTCCCAGCATGACATTAAGCATTAGGCATTCCAGCATGATATGAATCCATATAGCCTGTCACTATAGTTCCCATGGTGAAATTAGATCTCCTGATCAATTAGTCTACTTTGGAGCCCCTATGATGTGTTGCAATAGCAGTATTGCAGTCTTATGGAATATCTCTGGCTCAAAGTGCATATAGTATCATAATAGTTCCTTTCCTGCAACAGGTGAACATTAGGATTATGAAACACTGAAGTAAGAAGGATCCTCTGATATGGAAAAGATAAGGCATTTCAACAAAATATGCTTCATATGGTAAACAAATGAAAATATATTACTTCACAAGATACGACTCAGGGCAATATGTGTTTATGGACTAAGATATCCCATTCCAAAAACTAAGATGAATGCTCTCCAGAGCTTCTTGAGTAGATATAGTCATTACGTTTCTAACTTGTTGCTCAAAACATCATGCCAAGATCATGGCAATTTCTTACTCATTGGAAACCTCTGTTACTTTTTTCTCTGATTTATTATTTCCTTTGACTAAGAATGCAATACACAAAGCTCTTGCAAATGTTTTGATGGTGATCAGGGATGATGTCTGTCCCACTCGCTGCTAATTCACTACAATTTTTTTAAATGGTATATTCAGATATGGTTCATACATGGCATTCACATATGATTATGTACAACTTATGTCAAACTCCACACACATTCCATGTATTTTCATTTGCAGATTGCCAAATTAAATCATGTAGGCTATCACAAGTGCTGCATCACTTGCACTAATGTGGCCACATAAGGTATTCCATAATGGGTAATACATGAATTTTCATGCAGGTTGTATTTAATTAATGATCATATTAATGTGAAAACAGATAATTAGTCATTAGCAAGCCAGATTTAAGAACATACATTGAAGGGCATTCAGAAAGCTATTCCCATGAAGTGCAAACTGAAATATAGGAGCTAAAAAGCATTCTTTTTCATAAACAGGTTTTCCAGCCAGTTCAGGCAAGCTACCTCACACTTCATACAGAAGACTACATGATAATAATCAACTAATGACAGTACGATGACAAGTTCATGTAAGCTTTGAGTCAATTTCTCACAAAATTAATACATAAGCATCTGACACTCTCGTGATTATTGAAACTTCATGTGTAAGGCATACTTTGAGAAGCATCAAGTTGATCATCACATTTATAAATTCTTAGTCTCCACCTGTTTGAGCCGTTAATGCCAATAATAAATCTTTCAAGATATGCAGTGTCTCCCATGCTATCAGTATCATGCATATCTTGCCTAAAAGAGGCATCAGATTCTTTTATGTCATTGGCAGGTATCAAGATGACTAACCAACCTATCTGTCGCTCGCATAGCTGGTCGAGCATCTTGCGCCATTGAGGCTGCATCGATGGGAGTGGTACAATGGGGGGAAGGACCCTGGATGGACACACTTTCTTGCTGTGTCCTTCCTCGAGACAGAATTTGCAGACAACCATGGGGACCTCCCCACGGCTCAGAACCCGACCAGAGAAGGTGAAGTTGAATTCGATGTCCTCTGCCAGCATGATCGCATGCAAGGCATCTTCAAACAAGACCAAGTACCTGGGACTGGTTTCACTGATTCCCAACTTTGGCAAAGACTTCTTTTTCTTCTCTTGAGCTTCTGTATCACTTTTAGACATTTCCTCTGAGCTCTTCATGGGACCTGAGATGCTTTCACTTGTTTCAGGGGATGAAAGTCTTTCAGTCTCACCTGATATACCTGCTTCAATAAGTTCTGAAGAGGAATCATTTCCTGGGCTGCAACAAGTGCTTTTTATCACAGTGGGCTCATCAATAGGTATGTTAGACGAGTTGTCTTTAGCTGCAGATGTGATTCCTCTTTCCTCTTGTACATTTTTGGGTTGTACTAGGTCTACAGAACCAAGCACAGTTTCCTTTCCAGGAACTCCATCAGCCACCAGGGTGGAATTTATTGCTAATCCACTCTTGTCATCAGGTTCCTCATGATTCTCCTCTTCCTTAGCAGCAGCCTTCCTGGCACGAATTGCCATGCGTTCAGCAAGTGCACGGTCCTTTGTGATGAACCTGAACAATGGCCCATCCATGTCATGTGGGATCCCAAAGTAGTGAAAGGCAAATTGGAATCGCCTCATGATGAACTCATTGACCTGATTGCCAGTGATGTAGCGGCCAAGATTCTGCTTTGGACTGAAGGGATCTGCAACCATTTGATCACTCTTGAAACAGGCTGAACCATAATTCTGTTAGACAACACTTGGAGGAAGCAAGAACAAACCTTCAATAGGTATTCGATTTTGAGACCAACCCTTATCTCTGTAGCTCACCCGCTGCATGGTTCGGATGGTGATGATCTCATTGCTCTGTGGGAGAGTGACAGCTAAGTACTTGATCATTGAGAGCCAAAGTGCTCCTACTGATTCCTTATTGTGGCACACCCACTGCCTTGTGGGCAAGTCAGAAGCACCTGCTCAATCAAAGAATTCAACAGGAAAATATTGAGAAGTTTGATTCACAAGAGGTATGGTAGAAGCAGACACCACTTACAAGCATAAATGTTTGGATTTTCAGAAGATGCAAGTTCATGAAGGCAGGGCAGACAAGGTGGTTGAGTCCGCTGGAGATAATGAACAACCATGATGGTGTATGCATGAGGTGGGAGAGTGCCAGTTGACTGCTGATCAATGTTGCAGAGCTGCAATGATTAAACAAAGCACTCACTCCACCAGTAAACAATGAATGTGCAAGTTCACAACTTGATGCAGCCTCACACCTTGGCCCATCTCCGCAAGGCAACAGTGAGGGTCTTCACCCGAGGATCAAGAGAGGCATACTCCCGCAGGAGTTTGCTTGTCTCCAGGGATGCTCCATTCCTGATGTTCACCACACATGTGATTCCAGATTTACAGTGTTTGAAGCTGACATATGGTGTACCTTTGAAGTCATGTTCAACCTCTCTGGAACAACATGCAAAAGAAAAAAAAAAGACCAAGTAGAAATAGCAGACAGGCAGCAATAGGCCAATTCAATGTAACTCTCAACATCCAGACTGTAAGACTTAGTGTGCTTAAAGAAGTGTGCTTGCATTATTTAATGCAAGCACACTTCTTTACTAACATTCCTTTAAAATCAGATGAAACCAGGGTGAAAAACTTATGAAATATATACCTTATCATGCCACTGTGTCAAACCCACAAAAATGCAAGTCAACAGAAAAAAAGCAAAACATCTGCACAATATGATGCAAAATCAAAATTGAGCACTGCTGCTACGAGACATGATAGGATTTCTCAGACACCAGGGAATTGGTCCTTTCATGTACTTGTACAGTACTTGGATAGGGCCATTCAACATATACCTTGACAAATTTAATATAAGTTCAGACCTTACTTCATGAGCTGCAGTAGCCGCTCACATTACAATGCAGCAACCGGCTAAGAGCATAATAGAAACTGCATGCATGGCCATGGCCATCTATTTAATGATGCATGCCACCAAGCCTTTAAGAATACAGTCAGTGCATGAAAAAATCAATCCACAATGTTCATTCATGAATGACTGCAAGTCAAAATGCAGAATTCAAATTAGTAAGGAAGTATTTAATAAAAATGTATCCTTTCCTGTTTTATATATCATATATCATATTTTGGAAACAAATTCTTGAGGGAAACTGAGTGAAAGTGCTGTTTTTTTTAATACAAGTTACCATTGAAGCTGAAAGGTTAACTAAAAGTTAGGCTTATAGTTGACCTTCCTTGGTGAAGTTGTAGTTAACCTTAGTTTGACCTTCAAAGGTAGACTCCTCAGTTTTTCAGGACCTCAAGCTGCCACAGACTTGCAAAGATACAAAGGAGAAGCAATTGACTGAAATGCATGACTACAAGACACTCACCTATACATGTCATTGTGTTGCTTGACAATTTCTAATAAATCTTCAAGTCTCTTTGAAGCTTCACTCTTTTCTTTGGCCTCAATCTCCAAGTTCAGATTTGATGTCACAAGTCCCAGGCCTGAAAGGCTTGATCCATACATATGGATTTCGCAACCTTCCAACATATTCAGTCAAACTCCAGTCAAAAAAAGTCCCATTAGCATATTTTTGGTTAACCCTAACAGAAAATCATTGCATCATTGCATTTCACCTTACCTTTCATGTGAGTTTCAATTAGAGATGAAAATTCCTCAGCGACCTGAAGCCGTTCTTTCAAATGATGTTCATGCATTCCAAACTGTGCTTCAACACTGTGGAGCAACCTGTCCAATGCTTCAATGTGATTCTTGCGAGGACAAGGAAGCATCTTGATGGTGTTCTTTAGATGATACACCTTCAAGAGAGAACACACCTTGCTCTGTACTTCCAATGGTGGCTCTTTCACGTTGAAGCAGATTGAACAGAAAACTGCTCTAAGAGAGACTACATAAGAACTGACCTCCAACTTTGTTCGATGTTTATGCAAAGAGATGTGCCTCTGACAGATGACTAGGCTCTTCATCTGTTCTGGACAAACATTGCAGTTATAGAACCACTTGTTCTGAAAACACAAGACAATAAAAAAAATTATTCCTCATCAATACCGCACCAGTAGCTAGAGAAAAAGAATTGAAAATTATGTACCATGATCTCCAAGACTCAAAAGAATGCTTGGTCCTCACCGGATCTCGACCATTGCGATTGAAGTGGATCATCTCTTCCTTCAGTGCATAGTAAACATGATCAGAGACATTAAAGTTTGCCTCTTTCTCTTTAGCAGTGACTTCCACTACGTTGATCCCATGCCGAGCCATGAAGTCCTTGCCATACTTTTGGGGCACCACATCAGGTTTCTCACTTGAAATTCCTCTCTCTTCTTTCTTGGCCTCAACTTTCAATTCTCTCTCCTCTCCTTGACACTTTGGGTCCTGCTCTTCCTTCTTTTTCTGGTGGAAGCTGCGCAGTGATATCACAGCTACATTCTTTTTATTCTTTTCTTTTTTCTCTCTTCTTCTCCTCTCCTTTTTACCTGGATCTTTCAGTTCTTTCTTCACTGTGTCAGATCCTTGCTTCTCAATCTGTGGAAATGAAATGCTCTCAGTCTCTGCACTTGGGGATGATTGGGAACTTCTTTTGCTTTCATTTGCTGTGGGGCAGTCAGCTTTCCCCTCACTCTTCATAGATGAAGGAAATGACTCCTCCTCTCTGCCTTTAGCATCACTATCTTGTTTAATTTTGCCTTTATTTTCATTCAGCTGACAATCTTCATTTTCCATGACCTGACTGTCCTGAATAGTCTTTGTAAAGTCTTGTACTTCAATACAATCATCTTTGACTGGCTGGCACTCTTGGATAAAATCTTTGTTTTGAGCCTCACAGCAAGCCTTCCTCATATCCACTTCAACAACAGCTGCAGCAGAATACGAAATTCCTTCATCACTCTTTTCCTCTGCAGCATCGTTTTGCTCTTCAGAGTTCAGGGTCACATTACTGGCACTTGAATGCTTGGAGAAGTCAATCACCAGAGTAACAGCCTGTGATGGCTCTGACAAGATAGGATCACACTTGTCATCATCCACCTCTTGCCTGCAAGAGGCTCCAAGATTCTCAACTTCTCTACTCTCACAATCTCCTTTCTGTATCATGCATATCTTGCTTCCAATTTGAACATCTTTAGCACTGTTAGCTTTTGGTACATCATCCCCTTGACACAACTGAGAGTTTGGAGATGAGCATGCACCGCTTCCTTGCCTGCATTTTGGATCACTGTTGCTGCAAGGCCCTTCAACAGCATCAGCAACTTCAGTGTTAGTGTCACTCATCTTCAGACGAACTGATGGAATTCTGATCTGAACAGTCTCTTCTTCTATGTGAAACCGTTTCTTCTTTGACCTTTCTTCAACATTAGCACAGGACTTGGTTTGCAAATTGTACATGAAGACAGTAAGCTCTCGCTGCCTTCCTGTCATGGAATTCTCCACATATTCATTACTACCTGCAGCATCACATTTCAGTGTTCATTAAGTGTTTATGCAGATAAAATTTAATAAGTTCACCAGCCAGCTTTGCGATAGGGAGTACTTCATCATGTGAGTCTGGATTTTGTCTCTATACACATGAAAAGCCAATATTCATTCATCAAGATACCAATTTGGAACTCCTTTCATATAGACTCCTTGAAAAATCTGGTAATAAAAGTGATGAAACCAATTAGACTCAAGACAAATAATGCAACAATATTGAATTCTGCCCAATATCCAATACTCAGCTAGACTTATATTAGAAAAACCTATATAAGTAACTGATATCCACATATCTTATTCCATGTGCCCAAATTGAAGGGAAAATAATATTTTAAAAGGCAAGAGTCTGATCTGATGAAGGGTTACCACTACCCTGTAAAACTTGTAACATAATGTTTGGCCTTTGAAAACCAATATGCAAAAAACCTAACCTTGATATTGAGCAAGATGTCTTATATTTAAACTGAGGGCTTTCAAGATATGAGAGCATATCAAATAATAAGGTTCCCTATTTTTTCCCTATTCCCCACAAAAATATCAGAGCTTGCAAAATAATGAAAGTGCTTGAATAATTTTGGCAACTATGTTGAAAAATAGTTGATGCACTCATATTTGTTCATCTGTATACATAATGTCTTGGTTGCTAAAATAAATAAGTTTAGAGCAAAATATTTGGAAACCTTATTTTTTGATACCCCTCATAGATTGATGAGCTGTTCTTCGACTCCAATTTGATTAGTCAATTGAATAACCAGTTTAACCTGAAAACTGATATGTAGATAAATCAAACAGTATCAGATTATATAAAACTATATTAACAATACTCATACATCATTTAATTATAAAAATGTTGTGTCCTTTGTCATAATTTATGAGCTGATTAAAATGGGATTGATTACACAGCCCATGACTTGATAACTTTTATAATCATATACTTGCCCAAGCAATGGGATCCATTTGCAAACAGAAAATAAATTCTTTTACAGGTGCATGATGTAAAAAAACTGGAGATGTAAGAAAGGCAAGCAGTGGCTGCGCTTAGTACTCTTTTTTTGTAGCAATAATAATTCACACTGCTAAAAATATCCACTGCCATAAGGGATTTTTGTGCAGCATGAAGATTCAGCTCTTTGATGCTTAAAGTTTTTCTCACATTTGGGCAATTGAACCAATGGGAAGGTACAAGAAGAGTGACAGTGACAGTGACCGTGACCGTGACGTGTCTTGGCCTTGTGCCACCTAGAGCTGTAACATGGGAGTTAGGAAAACATCGATGGATCGCTCTATACCGTCAATCGCGCGTCGATTCATCCGCGAAGCATTTTATCAACAGTGAGCTATGATGGGAAAAAAAAAAACTTAAACGACCTCGAAAGCGAAAACGCCCGGTGCCCTTCCCGATCCCTAATGACTGGCCTTCAAGTCGCTTCGATCGTCGCCGTTGGCCCTTTTGTATTTTTCTCTCTCTCGTTTCCGGGTAGCGCGGGGTCCCGGAATCACGCCCTAGCGAATTTCGATTCTCCCAATTCTCCGATGCATTGCGAAGCGGAAAAAAAAATCAATATGTCGAAACTCCTATTAATGGAGCAATCCCATCTACGCAAGGTCCTCAATCGGCTCCTTGTTAATTATCGAAACCAGATCCTTTCCCTAACCCCTTTTTCCGGCTAGCAAATAATTATAGAACGAATGCAGTTATTTTTTTTTAAGGAAAGGAGACTGAACATTTTATCTTCATAATATCTGAATGTGACCTTGAAAAGGGATACCCGAAACCCGAGACATCAGTCCCCTTCGCTACAAGCGAAAAATTCTCAGTCATCATTATAAACGGCGTAGGACTTCCGGGGAAAGGATCCTGCCACGTTTCTTATTTCTAATAAAGAACAAAGCGCGGATGAGGAAAAAGTCTCGTTATTTATATCTTTAAGCATTGCATCACAGCGTCCGGATAGGTTATCGGCTGCGCATATACCGTATCGGCCCAATGCAGTGGCGTAGGGAAGGGGGGGGGGGGGGGGGGGTTTAGGGGGTCAGGGGGTCAGAACCCCACCCTTGGGCTTCCTGGTCAGTGACAAACAGGCATATTTCAGCCTTCCTTGAGAATTCCAGTTTTAGCTATCCCCCTTCGAGGAAAGTCCAATGTCCATCCACAGTCCCGAGATGCCAGACCACGATTTCTTCAAAAAGGTAAATTCTGGGTGGTGGAGATGGTGGAGCTAAGCGTTGGGTCTACCTGGCCTCAACCCCCCCTGCCGATTTTCTGCCTACGCCACTGGCCCAACGTATCGTAAAATAACAGATAAAATATCTCTACAAGTCCAGCACGATCTATTTTTGAGACAAGGCCATGATCTTTCTCATCTCCCAACTGAGGGCTGAGCCTTGGACTCGGGCATGACTTAGGCATAATTTTAACGATTGTCAATGTACAAGACTCATTACAGTACTTTGAAACTGTTCCGTGCTAATTCTGCATTATGAGGTGATCGACTTTCTCCAAAAGAATAAAAGCATCCCATAGGCCAATAGTATAACTTTGGTAGTCGCCAATTGCTAAATGGCAACAAGATTCTATTGATACACTTGATGACTAAGAGTATCCTTGTTGGCAATTTGGCAATCAAGAAGCTTTTCTGACTCAGCCCAGTGAGTCAGTCAGGCCCACCTTGCCAAATGTCATCACTGTCAGACAGTCACCTGTCATGAAAAAGTAAAATAAAAAATAAAAAATAAAAATAAAAACAAGAAAGAGAAACAAGCCAAACCTAGGTCTGAAAGGTGCCCATACAGAAAGATCACACATGGCAATAATATGCAGTTACCTGTCATGTATTTCTTTCTGCCACATACTGACATATAAAGCTACAAACATGAGAGAATATGATCCATCCAAATGATCCATGTGAGACTTATTAATGCATAAAACATATCTGGGCAACATGTATGTTTTATATGCAAGAATCATCAGGTTTAATGGATGGACTTTTGCACAAATGATTATGTAACATAACTTGTACAACTCAAAAAACATGGATTTCTAGTTCAAAGGAAAATTTTTGTACAATTTAGAGCTAAAGTGCACATTTTTATGCACTTATGCCTGTATTTTTCATTTTCAGCACAAAGGGAAGCACTTTGTGTATTTTATGTCATTAAAGTCATAGATGAAGCACCAATTCTTGGCACAGTTCCTATGTAATTTAAAAAAATTGAGCAAGATTTGTGAGGAAGACAAAACATATGTATTTCACACCTGATCCAGCCATGTCTCCTATCAGGCATGATATATACCCCATCATATATAAAAGAGATATATATAAAAGAGATATATACTGAAGTCATAGATAATTTATCTGCTGCTGCATAACTCTGACATACATGACTTTCATTAAAATCATAAAGGCCCTGTCACATGATCATATACTCATTGCTGCAATAATAGAATATCACTTTTCTCTGACTACTTAAGAAGGGTTCCATCATCACAGAATTTTTTTTCTTCAAATACTGATGATTCAAGAAAAGCATCAAAGGATAACTTTAATATTACCACAGCAATAAAAGGATCGAAAGAGATCATTGTTGAGACAAGGGTTACAGGATTCGAAGGATTCATCATCAAATCTCAAAGAGAAAAAGATATTCATTTTCAAAAGCTGGTTCTTTAACATCTGCAAGGTCCAGAAGATGTTAGATATTTACCAAGAATCAAATGTTCTGACAAAGATCTAAGTTTTATGCATATAATAGTTATATCCTCACAGGATTTTGTAATTAGGTGCATATATGTCTATATTTATGCTATTGCCTCTGGTCAATGGTATGTTTCAGGCATATACAATACATTAAAGGTCATTTGATATATCCACATCAGCAAATTTGGTTAGTTTTTGTGACATGGATTTCCAGAGTTGTCTCAAAGCAAGGAATGCTTCAACCTGATATCTTGAAGTTAAATGAATTGAGGTTTGTTGCTTGAAATAAATGAAGGGACAAATATTTAGGAATGACAATCTCACTAGCACCATTTCCACTTTCAAAATTTGAATGAATGCAAAATTCCATGCTTTGGATTTTTATTTTAACCCTTTCAGACCTGGCATCCATTCCAATGGACACTGCATTTTCATTGTGTTTATGGTGATTTCTCGTGACTTTGCACCCCATATTACATGCAATTATGCATGGCTCAATTCCATCAGAGGCCTTCTTTCACCAGTCAGTTTTGTAATATTCAGTTATGTAATTATATGTTTAATATATATTATATGGTATGATATGGTCAATTTATAATAATAAAAACATTAAAAGGATATCTAAAACACAAGCTTAAAGTGCAATAGCAAAAGTGCTCAAAAATGCAAAAAAGGATATTATTCCAATAGTGGCCTTAATTCAGGTCTGAAAGGATAAAAGAAAAATAGCCTTCCTTTCATGGAAACTTCTTCCAATGAGGCTTGTTTTAAGTTTATTCCTGGTTCAACTTAATAATCCTGACTTCATTTTATTTTTTCAAGTTCTTACATTTTCTTTAAATTGTTTTTGTTTTCTCCTCTGGTGGACATTCCACTAAATTGCCCATTTTTTCCCATGCAAATTTTGCATGGCACAGTGCAAAGCTATGTGAATTTGATTAAAGTTGAGTGATTCAATCATCATCATCATCATCTGATGCCTCTGACAGTCTATGCTCCACCTCCTGGGCTTCCCTGATCCTTTCATTGTCATTATATCCATTCTCCTCCTTCTCCTGCATCACATGGTACACTTTCTCATCTGTCTCCCAGCAAGCCTTCACAATTTTGATGCATTTCCTCACATCTACATATGAGTGCAGGATCACCTAAGGTTTGGGCTTGAATTTACAGGATATTGAATAGAGGTTTAAACAATTTCAAAGGTCATACACCCTTGGGCAAAAGACCTCTACAATTGAAGTCTTA